AGATCATCAGTGTTGCAACTGTTCCTGAGTCTTCCCTGCTGCTGTGAGTGCACGCTGGACCTTACTCCTGCGAGAAACCCTGAAACAGCTGGATAGTGTTCAGGAAGTTGGACTTTGGTCAATTGTTACTTTTATCTTTCCTGGGATCCCTTTCTGGAGGAATGAGAGAGAGAGAAAGCGAGAGAGACAGAGATAGAGAGACAGACAGAGACAGAGAGAGAGAGACAGAGGCATATAGAGATAGAGAGACACAGACACAGGCACACATATACACACAGACACACACAGACACACACAGAGTGCGTGTGTTTTGTCTCCCTGGGAAAGTCTTTTACACATACTAGGTACCCAAACAGAGAAATGACAGAACCAAAGATGAGTTGGGGATGTCTGATTGCTTGGTCCTGGTTATGTGTAAGAAGTGATTCAGCCGAAGCCTAGGTGGGTGGTGCTTAGCAGGAGGAAGCACATGAGAAAGGGAGATGCAGCTAGTGTCCTCCGTGTTTGTGTTCACCCCTGATCTGGCAGGTACATTAGATAAAAGAGAGGAGAAGGCAGAAGTGTTGGTTTGTCGCTTTTCACGGCTGGGGCTAATAGGAGAAGAGCGTAAGTTAGATCCACGCTAAGAAGCGTTTCCTGGGGTCCAAGAACATGGAGCTCATGGGGAGAATAGGAGAGTGGGGAGGACAGCAGGGATAGAAAACAACCCTCGTGTCTGTCAGACCTATAGTAGAGAAAAGGGGGACTCTGTGACGTGACCTGCAGTTGGGGGCCTCAACAAAGGTCTGGCACAGGAGAGGGACACTGCTCCAATTAGGGAAGACTTCTAAACAAGCAATAAAAAAGCTTGTCTCAGCCTGGCTTCTGAGGCGGTGGGACATGGGAACAGATGGAATCCATCCAACTGTGCTGGAGGCAGAAAACCTGAGCAATGACCCCCGCCTCCTTAAGATAAAGGAGGTAATCAGACATTGACTGGCTGAGTAGAGCCATTAGGAACACTTGGCTATCTCCATCTGAGGTTCTGTAAATATCAGGGAAGGATGGGGTGACTGAGGAGACTGAGAGAACCTGTGTTTGATCCCCAGTTCACAAGGCCAGGAAGGCTGATGTTCACAGTAAAAAGGAAGTTGCTTCAGCAGGGACCTTGGGACTGTTTTAGAGGGCTTAGTGGCTTTGTTGAGTCTCATGATGGGATGTGATATTTTTGAATTAGGAGAGGCTTTGGCAGACATGGGTGACCTAGACCAGAAATGAATTGAATTTGTAAAGTGGAAAAGCAATCAAAAGAAGGAGAAGGAAGAGGAGGAAGAAGAGAGAAGAAGAAGGAGAAGAAGAAGAAGAAGAAGAAGAAGAAGAAGAAGAAGAAGAAGAAGAAGAAGAAGAAGAAGAAGAAGAAGAAAGAACGAACAAGAGGTCTGTATAGTTCACTTGAAGTAAAGATGATGCAAGATCTAGGTCAAACTGGCATTCCTAAGGGAAAATTGACAAAATTTCAAATGTGCCAGTGAGCTTCTGGAAGGCTTCACATTGCTTTTTCTTTTCTGCATTTCCTTTGTTTCATTTTGCTGTTTTGAGACTGGGTTTCTCAAAGTCCAGGCTGGCCTTGAACTTCCTGAGGAAAAATTTGAACTCGGTGATCTTCCTGCTCAATCTGGGATTACAGACTGCAGCACTGCACTCAGCAGCCTTGAATCTGTTGGTACAACAAAGTACTACAGTCTGTGGTAGTGTATAAGAAAATGCCCCCCAAAGGGAGTGGCACTACTAGGAGGTATGGCTTTATTGGAGTAGGTGTGGCCTTGTTGGAGGAAGTGTGTCAGTATGGAGGTGGGCCTTGAGGTCCCGTACATGCTCAAGATACCACCCTGAGTCACAGATTACTTCCTGTTGCCTGCAAGCCAAGGTGTAAGATAATCAGCTACTTCCCTAGCACCACGTCTGCCTGCAGGTCGCCACGCTCACTGCCATGATGATAAACTAAACCTCTGAAACTGCAACTGTCCCAACCCCCACAATTAAATGTTTTCCTTTATAAGAGTTGCCATGGTCATGCTGTCTCTTCACAGAAATAGAAACCCTAACTAAGACACACTGTCTTTAAAAGTAATCTTTAGGTCAAAAGTCTAACCCAGTTATCAATAATCTAAATAAAACAGGGCATTAAAAAAAACTGCTTTTCGTTCTAGAAGTTCTAGAGGGGAAAGCCATGTGTTCCTTCTCCTTCCTTCCCTGCCTCAGACCTCCTCCCTTTGTGCTCAGAGCTTGAGCAGCAGGTGGAGTACTGCTGCTATTTTCATCTCTTTGGCTCTCTGGCCACACCCTAGACTGGCTCTCCCCTATGTCCTTGTAACTGCAGTGTGTCTGACTACCCAGACTGACCAGGATATTATCCCTAGCTCTAGCTTATGCATAAGCCATGCACACAGAGTCTCTTTGCCCCTGGAAGTAATAGACACACCGGTTCTAGGAATCAGTGTGTGGACATCTTTGAGGAGCAATGTTTTGCTCACCACAGAGACTTAGAACGTATTTTAAGCTGATGTGAGACAGAATTAGACTAGAAGAAGTAGAGGGAGCTACTGAGATCAAATGTTAGTCATTTGGGGTAATTTCATTCCTTTCCAATAATTAGAAGACTGTGAAGATCTGTCTGTGTTCTTAGTGTCTTCAAACAGTTCTCTGATGATGAGAGAAGGTCTGTGAAGCAGGGCACGAGTCCAGATCTGGGTCAGTGAACCTTTAAACACAGGCCTGGCAAGGCCGGGGTGTAGCTCAGTTACTAGAGGGCTTGCCTGAATGCGTGAGGCCCTGGGTTCTGTCCCCAGCACTACCATAGACTAAATGTGGTCGTGCAGGACTGGAATCCCAGGGCTTGGGAGGCAGGTGCAGGAGGAGCAGTTCACGGTCTTGAGGGAGTTTGAATTCAAATTGAACTATATTACCCTATCTGTCCAATAAAAACAACTAAAAAAATCACCCCGAACTAATAAACGTAGGCTTGACCTATCCCTTAGTGTCTAAGGAATGAGCACCATTAGTAAATGGAGACTTGAGCTCAGGCCAATCTGAGAGGACAGGGTTGTTTGTTTGTTTGTTTGTTTAATTCGTTATGGTTATATACTCCCTTTGGCAGAGATGGTGATGTCCTTTCCCAGACTCGTTAGTGAAGAGCTTGCTGTCTGTGAGCTGGGAGGGCTGTCAGCAGACAGACCTCAGCTCTCAGCCCCTTCAGAGAAAAGTTCATACATCTCCCTGGACAGTCCACAGTCAGTGCCTACATCATGCAGGATCCCAAAGCCCAGGTACCTTCCTCTGGTCCTGGGCTACTTTGAAGGAACATCCCTGTTCCAGATTGCTGGGCAAGCCAGTCCTTAGTCCCCACATCACTGCTTCCACCATTCCCCGCTCCACTTCCAGGCTCCTCCACCCCCAAGGGTTCACTGTGAGGAGGATGTGTTGCTCAGTGGTAAACGTCTTGCCTTTCCCCAAGACCTGCTCTAGTATTTCACTGAAGCAGGGTCATTTCCACCAGGTCACTAGTCATTCAAGCTTCATATCCGTAGGGTGAGCCGAGCATAGGTGGACAAGGGACACCAGCTGTCCGGGTCTTGCTCCTTCCTTGCCTCTGTTTCTCTGCCAACCTCTGAGCACAGCTAGGCCTAGAAGCACTCACCCTGGACCCCAGCTTTAAACAGGCTGCAGGTGTGGCCACAGGATGCAGTATTCTATCCAGGCTCATACCTATGTACCATGGCACAGTGTCGTTGATTTCAATCACAGAAAAGTAAAATACACCACTTTGTCAAAGCAAAAGCATTTTAACGATTTTATTTCAGGTCAATTTGCCCCCACATGTTTCCCCAGAATAGTCAAAATATGCCAAGAAAAAAACCAAAACAGAACAAAACAAAAAACAAGCCATTTATCAGATAAACAATTTTTTTCTGTGATTAAATATTATAGACACACTATCAAGAAGAAGAATCATCACCTGTATTCTTAAATTTTACAAGTTTCTTCATTTATGTCTTGCTATTCTTTTTTTAAATATTTATTTATTTATTAGTTATACAATATTCTGTCTGTGTGTATGCCTGCAGGCCAGAAGAGGGCACCAGACCCCATTACAGATGATTGTGAGCCACCATGTGGTTGCTGGGAATTGAACTCAGGACCTTTGGGAGAGCAGGCAATACTCTTAACCTCTGAGCCATCTCTCCAGCCCCTGTCTTGCTATTCTTTAAAGCCCATATAAGAACTATAGGAAGTAAATACATGTATGGTCTGGATGTATTTTTAATAGTAGATTGAAAATTTATGAGATTATTTTTCAATGACACATCTATTATGATTTCATCTATGCAAACCACTTAATTAGAGAAAAAAATGAGCAAAGTAGTATTAAGATAGACATTTAAAAATATGTAGTAGGGAAGACAACTAGAATTTCTATGTTAAGAATCGCCTGGATTTCATTTAAGTGGAACATGTGTCTCCTACTTGCCTGCCTAAAATACCTTCAGCCGGCAGCAAACCCAAACCCAAGCCCTGTGTGATATCAACCATCTTGTAACCAACTTGTAAGCACATTCTCTGCCGCATTAAATAAACCGTATTTAGCTAACTTATTTGAACATTCCGCAGACTCCAGTCCTTGGCAAAGTTTTCAGTTATTGATTTTTAAATCTTCATAAGCCTCTCAGGAGGCCAAGCAGAATCGGGCCGCTGACCCAGCAGGTCTTTTCCTGTGATTGCCACCTGCCGTCCCCATACCAGCCCGTCAATAAGCGCTTATGGGCAGCCTGCTGTGGGCCTGAGGCCTGCGGCCGGGCCGTGCAGACTCCACAGAAATGGGATTAGGTTTGCGTGGAGCTCACATCCAGATTAGCATGCCAGCGATGTTTTATTAATTTCGTGTTTACCAGCAACTGCGACTAAGTGTTTCTCTAGGAGTGGCATGGCTTTCGATGAGCCTTAAACTAATGGGGAAACCTCTCATTAGTAAAAACTCTTTTTTTTTTTAAAGACAACATTTATGTAGAATCAGGTAGACTAGTCTCCGGAGGTTTGTACATCTATAGACGAGGTTTTAGAACACAAAGTACCAGATGCATTTCATATTTAGATGTCAAGATGCAACATTTCTCATCTTTCACTCTTTAGGAGTAAAATGTCAAGACATTTTTGTGATTTCCTCTAACCAGTAACACAGGAGGCAGGTTCTTGGTCAGAATTTCCAACCACGCCATGTACAGCAAATCCGATATAGATCCTTTTCTCGCCACTGGAAGGCTCCTGACAGTATTGAAGACAAATTAAAAGCAAAGAGAAAAATTACAGTGGGAAGGGACATTATCTGTGCTTCTGAATTAATAATAACTGGTAGCCTGAAATGTTTATCATATCCCCCTCAAACAAGAGCACTGCAATTATTTTAAGTACAGAAATTAAATTGATGTATTCTTCAGATAATGCAAACATGTATAAATGAGAAAAAATGGCTTAGTCATTGTACAGACAAAATAAAATTATAACTTCTGATTTTTTTTAAACAGAGAATTTAATAAACAAAAAATTGCTCTATGGAGAAAGTTACTCTTCTTTCCAATATCTCCTGGGAATTTGTTTTTTTTGGGGGGGGTGCCATTAGAAGTGGCAGTTCTCCAGGCCACACCGTGCTTGAAGATACATATATTTTCATATATAGGTCAGTTCATGGGGTAAAAATAAAATAGCTGGGCATTTTCCTGTTTTAGCACCAATCTCCATTACATGAGTAATGTTGGTGGGGTCCTGGGAGAAAGGACGAAAACATAAAAACTCATGGTGATCTCTTCCCACACTGTCAGCCACGACACACGTGGCTCGGAAGTACCCACTCAGGAAATCAGCCGTGTACACCCACAGCTCAGGGGCACCCATCAAGGGAAGCTTGTGAGCCCTGTGGCCTGCTTGGGCTTTTGGGAGGGATTTCAGAGTTCCAGGCTTCTGGAGCCTGGTCATATGGGACCATGGACACACGCTCCCGGCCCCACGGCTGTTGTAGAACCACTAGCAAGTCCAACCACATACTGCTGAAGTTCACAGAACTTGGTCATCCCTGTCTTAGAGTGACAATTGTCTTCCTTCACTGCCAAAACTCCCACACGCTCCAACTTATCAACTCCCATAGGAGGAGTTCTGGACCTTCAGTCCAATCAGTCCACTCAGCTTTTCCCTTCTCCCCACCAGGCGACCGCACCGGCAACACTTACAGCACGATCAGGTTGGCGGCTCTCGAATGTTCCTGTAAGAGCTCATTCAGCCGGACTTGGCGGTAACTCTGTGGACAGTATTTAGACTGAGTTCAGTGCGGCTCCACCAGAATTATGAACAAGAAGTTATTGTCTTACCTCAAGTCATGAATAAGCAGAAGATATGACTTTTAAAAGTCATTACTAAGAAAAAATAGAATGTACTTGAAAAACGAAGATTTACTGTAAAGCTTCACAGGCAATTGTAGAAATGTAAAGAGTGAGTGTGGATTGTCGCTGTGGCGTGGTGGCTTACTAGGGGTGTAGGGTGTGTCTAGGGGTGTAGAACAGCATAGATAGCAAAAACAAAAAAGATGAAAACGGAGGATTTGGAAACAGGCTTTCATCTGAAGAAGACCAACTGAATCTTGCTATCTCTTTGGCAGCCTAAGAAAGCAGGCTGTGCTCTAACCTGTTCCCTTTAAGCCCCCTGATAATGTAATATTAGTATTATACTGGTTTTGTAGGACCAGCCATGACAAGCTCAATAGAGGCCTGAGTCTCAGTAGTTTACCCTAAGGCAATACCTGGTTCCAAGAAAGACCACAAACTGAGATTACCCAGGTAACACCCAGGAACAGAGCCTCAAAAGGAAATTCCTAACGTTCTAACCTTTGTAGATGCAATCACCTGCCAGCACACATCCATCGCTTTTCACCAGGACACCCCTAGACAAATGTCAGCCAATCAGGGGTCCTGAACCTTAGAAATCCCTCACCCCTACCCTTGCTTCTATAAAAACCCAACCCCATCTGACCTCGGGGCTCTCCAATTGCTCCAATACGTGGAACACATGGAGAGTCTGAGTTTGCAAACTTATGTAAGAATAAAGGCTCTTTGCTTTTATATACAGGATTTGGTCTCCTAGTTGGCTTTGGGGGGGGGGGGCTCTGTGATCTGGGCATAACAGTTTCAAGAAAAAAGCCACCAATAAAGTCACTGGAAAATTATTTTACAGTGCTCAGACTAATGCTCATTTTTGCATTTCACTGCTTCAGAACTAGGTTCATGTGTCTGACTTGTTTAATTATATGTGATATCTTTGTTAAGACCGGGTACTTAACCACACACACAATTTATTGTTCTCTTTTAGCGCTGTTTACGCCACTACTGGAAGGGGTTAATATTTTCTTCCTCTACAAGTTCATGTGATCCCTGTCCTTTAATGACCAGCTAACATGTTGAGCTTTGTATTTAAATCTTCACCCCTGTTCTTTCCATTATATTACTGCCTACCACTTCAATGGACACTAAGGTCAGAGAAACCTATGATTGTTCTCTGTTCTCCTAGCCTGGCTGGGGGTTTGTGAGCCTCCTGCCTCAGCCTCCAGAGTGCTGGAATTCCTGGCCACTGCACTATCTAGAAAAGCTCATCATTTTACATTCATCTCACCGTGGACGCCGGATGCAACTTACACACACACACACTCACACACACACACACACACAGTTATTTCACTATTCCTGTGTATGTGTGACGTGTGTGTGAGTGCTGCAGTGAGCTTGTAGATGTTGGAGAACAGCTTTCTATGAATCCATTTTCTGTCTCCACAATGGGATGTGGGAACTGAGCTCGGGCCACCTGATGAGCTATCTTGTTAGTCCAGGCACAACATCTGTGCTCATTATTCCAACCAATGCATCAAACATTTCTGTAGATACTTATGTTAGTTTTTCACAGCTGTGTTTATCAGGTTATGGGTCTTTGTTATTGTTTAAATTGTGGGTCAGTTTGCCTTGATCCACATTATATGCCTAAATGAAGAATTATCTTAAGATTAATAAAAATACATTTCAAAGGAGACCTCACAGTATGGACCAATAACTTGTTTTGTTAAACATAAAAATAGGCTTCTTTCTAGAAAAAAAATGAAAATGTTTTCTGAATGATTGTATCCAGTAATATGAGCGAAATGTCCCTGAAAATGTGGGCGCCTGGGATGCTGAGGAAGGCAGCTTGACCTGATGGATCGGTTCTTAAAAACCAACCGCTGTTTCCTCTTCGCTAATTAGACAGCGAAGTGGAAACCAGGGAAGACAGGTCCTTACCTTTTCCTTGACGGCTTCCAGTTCTGCGTCTGTAATTTTCCACGGACTCTCTCTTTTTAATTTCTCAGCAGTGGTCAAATCTTTGTGGCTTTCGTGGAGCCGATAAGGTTCAATCATCTCCTCAAAGACTTTCCAGCTGAAATCGGAATTGTAAAGGAGGCCTCATAGCGGGAAACGGGATTTGTTATATCACAGATGCAAAGAATCGGAGCTGAATGGTATGCAAATCTTTTAAGAGTCCTTTGTGGGGAACACACTGTGAGCGAGACCGTGGGCAGAGGCCTCCCTCCTTAGTCAAAGCAAGCAGCCCGTGTGTTTGAAGGCCCAGTTAGTTTGCAAGGATCATCAATAATATTAATTCATGGACACGGAGATAATAATTATTCCACATATATGTTTTCTGCAGAATGTAGTCAAAAGCCCACTTATGCTATAGACACTGAAGCCCACATCTGAGTCTCCACTTGTAATGCAGATCAAGGGGAAACATTTCTCAGCTATTGTAGTTGGAGTATGACCTCCATTCTTTGAGCGCTGGGAGTCCTCCTCACCTGCCGTCAACTGACAATGCCCACGCCTGCTGGGAGACTTTGGGCAGATAGGAAAATAGCCTAGCCTGGGCTCTCACAGGTTTAACAGTTCTAGCGCAAAAAATGTCTGCGGAAAATAATGGTGTCCTTGTCCTGGTGTTTGATGTTGCTGCCTGGGATTTTCAAATGACTATTATTCATGTTTGTGTTAAGCGAGAGGACAAAAATCAATAACATTTAATGCCTAAAAATCTGAGGCCATCTTAGGGCATCTAAAAATAAATCATCGAGGAGAAGGCGAGAAGTGGCGTCTGAGCTATGGAACATTTAAAAAATTGCAAAAAGAATCTCATTCTTGTCTTACATGATAATCTCCTAAGATTTATTCCTCTAACTACGGCACAAAGTGAAGCTTCTAATTTATGGAAGGAGCAGTCTTCGGAGCTCTGCTTAAGAAGACTTCAATGATGAATAATTTTCTTTGGTTTTATATAATTTAGCTTACTTACCATTTAGTAACTTCGGGATGAATGATAATTAGAACCCATACGCTTTGGGGTTAAGAAATTAAAATATGAAGTGATGAATTTAATTATCTCATCAGTTGGCCTGATTTAGGACTTGCAGATAAAAGTGCAGAGATTACAAGGGAGTAAAATTGTCTCTCTGCCAGTCAGCCTCTATAAAGGATGAGGGGTAACCGGTCAACCTCTGTAAAGGACGGAGGGGTACCTGGTTCTCCTCTGTAAAGGACGGAAGGGTGCCTGGTCGGCTCCTGTAAAGGGTGGAGGGGTACCCGTCAGCCTCTGTAAAGGACGAAGGGGTACCTGGGTCGGCCCCTGTAAAGGACGGAGGGGTATCCGGTTGGCCTCTGTTAAGGGCGGAGGAGTGCCCGATTGGCCCCTGTAAAGCACTGAAAGGCACCGAATGCAATAGACTCCTATTGTGCCGACTCATGTAGAGAGCGGGGAGACAATGGGTAAGCAAGAGAACTGAAGTGTCCCTATTATTCTTTCAACAATACGTTCATTTGCTATTGCTTCCCACGGTGTCAACCCTGAGAGGGCTGTGGCGACAGTCAGTGAGATGCAGTCTGGCCTCAGAACCTGGATCATTGCTCTAGGGTTTCTACTTCCCTCTTAGAGCTAATCTGGCCCACAGAAGGAAGTGACAATGGCCACCGAGAGCCAGGGTGATGGTGTGGGTACACCATCGGGAAAGGGAGGTAGCATTGTGCTGACCAGCCCCAGAACTTGGTTTCAGGATAGAAAACCATATTTAAACTTTACACATTTTTATTTTGGAACAGTTTGAGTCTCTCTGTGCCTCATCCAGAGCCTGGCTAGAAAATACAGCGTAAGGATGATTTCCAAAGAAACAGGAGGAGCGGAAACTGGTAGTTGCTTCCACAGGATCCAGGGTGAGAAGCGTTCCATCCAACATCAGCCAATGCTAACACATCTCTATGCTTTCTGCAAGGACTGAGTGAAGCCTAGGCAGTTTTGCACTAATATACACCCAGTACTATGGTGCCTCCCATGAACGGCCCTGTTTTTTGGGGGCACAGTGAATCCTGAGCAGAGTATAAGAGCCTGACTTCACTAACTAGGGAGAGATGCTTTCTCTCCCACCGAATGAACAAGAACAAGTATGGAGTCCTAGCTGCTCTCGTCAGGCATCTTGCTTTTTATAAGCTAAATGAACTTTGATTGGCAGCTCTCTACAAAAAGGGAGAACGGGAAGAAGGAGAGAGAATCAGTCCTTTGTTATGAAGTTTATTTTCTAAGTCATTTAGCGGAAAGCCAGCCTACACCTGTACTTAATTATGTGTGACACTAATTTCTGTCATCTAACTCACAATGAGGTGTTTTAACTCGCACTGAAACACACTAAGGGGGTGATGAGGGAGAGCAGAGTAGGCCATTGGATCTCCTGGAACTGGAGGTATAGATGGTTATTAGCCAGCATATGGGTCCTAAGACTCAAACCCCATTCCTCCGGAAGAACAGCCAGTGCTCCTGGCTGAACCATCTCTCCAGGCCCCAACTGATCTTTCTTTAAAGCACCTTTTAATTGACTCTCAGCCAAGTAATATCTGCTGTTAAATATAAATGAGGATTAATTCAGATTTTTTAATTAACTAATAGCTTTCCTGCCTTCTCCATCACTTTCTTCACACCAAAGTTCAATACTATTTTGACTGCATAAAACTTTCTCCCTGAGAGAGGAAAGGGAAAGAGGAAAATGATGTATTTTAATCTCAAAAGTGTGATAATAATTTAAAATTTTAACCTTTGTCCACATAAGATTTCCTCTTTCAAAGTAACATTTTGTGATTGTTTTTAGATTATTCTAGCACTAGCATCTTTAAGCTAAATTATCTAGTTAATTGCTTCCAATTTCTCCTTGATTTCCATATAAAGATTTCTCCTTTGGCCCATGACTTTTATTTCAGTTTATACAATAAAAATAGATTCTAACCACAATATGTCCTATGTTTCCCTAGGCTCAATTATTTTCTCATTTAGTTGGCTTTTGTGCTATCTTCACCCTTGCTCTTCCCATACGTAGAGATAAGGTTTCTATGACAAAATGCCTCCGACATGGCTAACCAACATTTCATGGTGGCTGCATGATTTGCTAAAGAAGATTGAAAGATATTTTAACACTAGACTTCCTCAAGCCAAGCACCGACAAATTGTTATCCACCCTGTTTAACACCAGGTGAGCAAGACAAAAATAGTGATCTGGGGACAGTTGTTAATGGTGGTGAAGACTGCCCAGCTAAGAAGGCCACCACGGGCATTGAAACTGAGACAGTATTCTCTTGATGGTGTAGCTCAATGGCCTGGAGTTACATCCATCTACAAGAGTTTTCTCTGTTTGACTGTACTACCCAGAGTAACACAAACATGCCTGACCTGCTATCAGAGGCCACAGGTACTCTGTTCCAACCTAGGGCTACTTTCAAATCGTGGGACCTGAGTTACCAGCAAGGTACATGGTATTTTACACGTCGGTGTGGGTAGAGTGTGGTGGAAGGGTAAGAGAGGAGAAAGGCTCCCCTGAGCACTCTTCCTGGCCGATGGGCTCCTTTTCTCAAGGCCGTATACGTTAGCCACCAGAATTCTTTGGTCTCTGGAATGAACTTTAGACACATGGACAAAAAGTGAAAATGCCCCAGGAAGAGAACAGTGTGGGACAAATAAGGCAAAGCTGGTCCGTATTATGACACGCGGGTTCTCCCAGAGTGGAGAGGACAGCTAAGGAAGGTAACATATCACACGTTCAGTGACAGAACAGAAAGGGTAAGAACACAGGGTGGTGGCCACAGCTGCTGAATGGAGGCTAGCCGGCGTGACACAGAAAACAAAACAAAACAAAAAAAAAAAAACAAAACAAGCATTAAGGAGAGAAAACCAGGTTGAGGGGTGAAAATACAAGGGGGTAGAGAAACAGCTGCTTATTTACAAAGATAAACAATGAAGACAAATTCTAGTCCTTCAAGAGCTGGGCGGCTAAATTTTGTTCAGCATTGAGCAAGGGCTTGAAGAGAACCAGTGGTACCCTCCAGACAACAGAAAGTAGCTTGACCTTGACTTATAATGCTATCTAAACCCTACCACGAAGGGGTTCATGCAAAAATTGTTTGACTTGCTCTGCTCTGAAGGATCGATCTCTACCAACTAGAGCCACTCAATAAGACTGAGGGGTCACACGGCTGCAAATGCCACGGAGGCATCGACTCAGTGAGCTACAACTCTTCAAATGAGAAGAGGCGGCACGACAAGCCAGGCCTGCTCACAACAGCATCCCCACTTACCAATGGGAATTGTAAATATGTTATTTTATTTACGTGTTTATAGCGGCAGAAGCCCAAGAATGTCAGGGATTTGAGGTATGCAGGACACAAGGAAATGTTACAGAGCATATCTGGTTGGCCCAGCAATTTCAGTTTTCTTATCACAGCTGAGGTGCCCTGTTAAGCATTCTACCTGACCCATAGCTTTGGCGAACTCACGCACACCCTAAACAATATAAAATTTGAGTTTATCTGGTCCATAAAAAGTGTATCTTAAGTCATACTATTTTTAGATATTTATCAAGTTCATAAAGGAAACACTATACTACAAGAAGGGAAGAGGTGAAAAGACTTGGAGATTGTAGAACTCTGGCTTGCCAAGAATAGCCAGAGGAAGCAGAAACTGTGCTCAAAGAAGACCCAACAGCAGTGGAGGACCCAAGGCGCCTAGAAGTCTTCACATCCCACTACGTGATTTTCTTTGTGGGTTCCAGTCTACTCTAAGTCAAATGCATTGAATCATGTCCACAAGAGACAGTAAATATAGCTTACTTTAAACAACTGAAAACGTCTTGTGATGGCTAAATTGCAAGTCTAGGCAGTTCATTTAATTTATAATTGACCGTGATTCCTTGCACCTTTGGGATATCCTGTGAAGATACAACCCGCGATACCAATAGATTTCAGATGCTGTGGCTATGAACTGAAGTTTTGTTGTCTGCTGACGTTCACACCAGGAAGATCAAACCCCCAATGTGGTGAAGTTTGGATGTGGGGCCTCTAGGGGGCACTTCACTTTAGAAAGAGTCGTAAGGATGGTGGCCCCACAAGGGAATTCGTACCCTAGCAGAAGAGAAAGAGAAGCCAGAATTCTTTCTCCATAAAATGAAGACATAGGCCGGGCGATGGTGGCGCACGCCTTTAATCCCAGCACTCAGGAGGCAGAGGCAGGCGGATCTCTGTGAGTTCGAGACCAGCCTGGTCTACAGAGCTAGTTCCAGGACAGGCTCCAAAGCCACAGAGAAACCCTGTCTCGAAAAACCAAAAAAAAAAAAAAAAAAAATGAAGACAGAGATGCAACCAGCTTCAGGCTAGAAAGAGAATCCTCAACAGACATACACCCCAAAGCATCTTGTTCTTGGATTGCTCAACCAGAACCGAGAAACAAAGCACCTAGCCTATGGCATTTTGTTAATGACTAATATAACAATGGAGTTGAGAAAGTCAACAGTTGATAAGGGTTAGAATGCTGTCAAGCTTTGAAGACGTTTCAATGATTGTTTCTCCTTTCATTGAACTTTCAGTTTTCTGGGAGTGGGGCTTCAACCACCTCTCTGGGTCTCAGATAGTTTTAGAGGTTCTCTCAGAAGTTCACAGCCCTAAGCATAGAATCCCTTAGTACCTAGAACCTAAAACATCCCTGGGATGGGGGCCCTTTCCTTCTCTCCATTAAAACGGACTTGATGGCTCTGGGCCGCAGTTATGGAAAAGACTTCTCTAATATCTGTCAAGAAGATGCTACAGTCCGTACATTACATCTCCAGCCCTTTGCTAAGCAACGCGGAAAAGACGAGACAGGAGCAGGGGCTGGGAAAGAGCCTACTACCCAGTTCACACCTCTCTTTGTTCGGCTTGATGTTGATGTCTCCAATTATATGGATGTCTGCAAATTTTATCCTAAATTTGCTGAGGAGAGAAGCCATTCTGAAAGAGAGAGAGATAGAAAAAAAAACATCATTAGTGTCTATGTAATTACTTTCTATCAAAATTGTCTTTGTGTTTGATTAAGGCATCAAAAGCAATCAGTATAGCTTCCAGATGGAGGCTTTTCAGTTTTGAGATTTGTTAGCACACTTGTTGGAGACGTCATGGACAAAGCCACTCTACCGAGGGCATAGAGCCAGCCCTGCAGGTGATCATGGTGGCACATACCGGCCATCTCAGGGCACTGAGGTAGGAGGACTGTGAGTGTGGCCAGCAGAACACACTCTGAGACACCTTGTTATAAAAATGAATCCAAGAAATAAAAACAAAGAAAGCCTGGAAGATACAGAGAAGAGAACAAAGGGAACTCCGCGTTCATCTTCATGAGAGAGAATGTGAAGCCATCCTTGCCATCAGTCAGACAGAACAGGTAATTCTTACTGCTGGACGTCTTTTATAAACTGCTGACAAAATGGTAACTACAGTGTAGTTCCACCACCCCTGGAAATTAGTAATCTTAACTTAAATTTACAGAAGTCTTCTAAGGTGATCCAAAAAATTCCTAGGCTTATCATTTGCTTAGTTTTTTTTTTTTTCCAATTTGGCTTGTTATTCTCTTTGTTTCTTTCTCTTTATATCTATCTGTCCATCCACCTCTTAAAGGAATCAATATATGTGATATAATTGTATGAGCATTGTGATATCTTCATTTAAAGCAAATTTATAAATATCCTTATATCCTTATTATAAATGTGAGTATATGTGTGTGTTTACCATAATTCCATTCACCTGGGAGGAAAAAGAAAATATGAAAATTGATGGAATGAGAGGCCTGTTATTATTGCACAGTTTCTGGAAGGTACAGAGCTCAGGACTTTAGCCCATCATGCAGGACTGAGAGCTGCTGATGTTGACTCTCCAGGCTTTCCATGACAATTCTGAGTACATATGCACATATGAATACACCATGCTCTTGGATGCTTGTTTTTCTCACATCTACACATCGGCTTCAAGAGGCTACAATAATGAAAAATCTACAAAGATTTGTGAATCAACTTTAATTAGAACTCTCTCTCACTCTCTCTCTCTCTCTTTCTTTTGAGACAGGGTCTCATTATGTAGCCCTAGCTGGCCAGAACTCAACACTTGTCCAGGTTGGCCTTGAACTTGCTATGTAGAGCAGGCTGGGCTCAAACCCAGAAAGATTTGGCTGCCTCCGCCTCCCCAGTGCTGAGAATTCAGGCATGTGCCACCACACCCGGCTAGCTCAAAGGTATTTAAAGCACTGAAAATGACAGCAACAGAGCAGCCCATGCTCAGAAGGACCAGCAAGGTGAGCCACAAGTTACTCACGAAATCTTTTCCTCTTCAATACGGTTGATCTTCCCTCCAACGTAGATTCTTAACTTACAGTCTTTCCATTTTTTTCTGAGAGTCAAGATATATGGAATAAGAAGCGTTAACCCTGGAATAAAGAGTAAATTGCAACAGGAAGGATGAAAGAAATTGAAAGAAAAAATGAGAGCATTATTTTTATTCATTCCCACTATCATAACTCTTAAATGATTTATTATAGTGGTATATTATTTGTGTTTTAGTAAATAAAGTTTGCCTGGAGATCAGAACAAGCAGCCACACTAGTCAGTCATACAGGCCAGATAGTGGTCGCACACACCTTTAATCCCAGCAGCCACAATAGCCACAGAAGCCAGGCAGTGGTGGTGGTGCACACCTTTAATCCCAGCACTAGAGAGGAATCTAAAACGGGAGGAGACAGCTCGCATTCTCAGTCTCAATCTGAAGATTTCTGGAGGCAGGCTCGCCCATTTTCAGTCTGAGGTAGAGATAAGAGCCAGTGGTTGGCTGCTCTGCTTTTTCTGATCTTCAGGTTGAACCCCAATATCTGTCTCTGAGTTTTTGTTATTCGTGCTACAATTTGTGGCCTTCAGGAACTCAGAAATGAGTTCCCTAGCTCCCTAGCGAACGTTCTGGACAGCTTACCTCCGTCATCGAACAACCACCACACATCGATAGTGCCTTTTCCTTGTTTCTTTTTAAACTGAGCACTGGCTTCCACCAGTTTCTGGTTGAACTCCCCGACATGCATCGACTGGATGGTGTTGATGTTGCCCTCTGAAACGAAGGACACAGTGAAGTATCTGTTTGTCCTCTGAGGACAGACACAAGGTGACTTTCCAGTTAACCTTCTGAGCTCCAGTCTACAAAGCTGAGCTCCATAATTTAACTCACCCTCCTTAACTAAGGAAAGAATTGCCCCCCAGTTCTGCCGACAGTTCTTATTCTAAAGAAGTGCATCGTTTTTAGATCTCTTATAATCTCACGATGGAATTATAACTTAGGTGTATAGTGACTTAAGCTTCAAAGATAATGTACAGGCTTATATTTTTTGCTGTTCCCCCCACCCTGGCTGATTGGTGCTATTTTGGGAGACTAAGGGGCTTTTAGGGGGCTCAGCACAGTTGGGGAAAGTAGTTCAGTGAGAGGGGTGGGCTTTAGAAGGTTATAGCCTGGCTTCCACTTCTGGTGTGCCCTGATGTGAATAGTATCTGTCTTGAGCTCCTGCTGCCAAAGATGAAGCCACAGGAGTTCGTCCTTTCTACTCTGATAGGCTAAAACTCTCCGAAATCACAAGCTATTGGAAATAGTTAAGAACTATTTCCTCTTTTAAGGTGATTTTTGCTCTATCTTGTTTTTGGTCAGGAGACTGTTAAAGAAGAAGCAGTGTCTATGGGGATGGTTTGGAGGAGGGAAAAAAAGTGTCACGTGGAATACGTACGTGGGAAGAAGGCTACCAGGGAAGAAAAGGGTACAAGGGAAGGATGGGAGAGGGACAAAGTGGGAGAGAAACAATACAAAGAACATTTGTTTGAAAGAACGCTATAATGGAACCGAATTCTACATATGTTAATAAAAACATTCCTTTTAGAAGAAGAGGGCCACACACAGCTTCTTGTGGGATGTCTTAGCCTGGTTATGCTCCAATTATGAACGCAGCAGATGAAAATCAACAGATCCCCAACCTCCCGAAATTTTAGAATGGAACATTTTTAGATTTACTTTAAACTAGAACGTGTGGTGACTTGAATTTTCTAGAGATGAGCAATAGGGGACAGGGAAGGTCACTTAGGCACCAAAGTGCTGGCCTCGAAGAACCCCATGAGAAAATGACATGAGAGGTGTCGTGTGTGTGCAGTCCCAACCCTGGGGAGGCAGAGAGAGGGGGTTTCTGGGGCTAACTGGCCAAGCAGCCTGCCTTGCTTGGAGAACTCTAGGCCAGTGAGAGGCCCCGCCTCAAAGTGGATGGATGGCTTTCCTGGGATGATGCCTAAGGCTGTCCTCTGGCCTCCATACACATGTACAAACTTCTTACATACATGCACACACTTCCACACACATGTAAAAACTATTCTTTCATTGGAAATTTCACTCATTTCAACACAGTTTTGTCATAAACTCCACAAAGGTCTGGTTGGTAGTTTTCTATAATCCCAGTTCACATCTATTTCCTTTTCAAGAGTTCTGAGAAGCAAAGCAAAATCCCTTGAGTTGTATGGATTTTTGCGAATGATATGAAAAAGGTCCAGGATACATAGAGATTAAAAACTGCTTTGAGTTTTAATTAAGGATGGATGCATATGTAATTCTTAGAAGTAAATAATACTTTTCTAAATTATTATTTTACATGTGAGTATGTGTGTGTCTGTAGGTAAGTATGCACACTGTGTGCACTATGTGCACGCGAGTGCAGTTGCCCACATAGGTCAGAGGTATTGAATCCTCAGAGCTGGGATTACAGCCACCTGATGTGTGTGCTGAGACTTGAACACGTGTCCTCTGGAAGAGCAGCCATTGCTCTCAACTGCTGAGCCATCTTTCCAGCCCCAGGTCTATTTGTTTTTATGCGTGTGGGTGTTTTACACGCATGTATGTCTGTGTACCATGTGCCTGCCCTGTACTCTCGGAGTTGAGCTGAGGATGTCACCTGCCCTGGAACTGGAGTTTACAGGTGTGAGCTGCCTTGTGGGTGCTGGGAATTGAACCTGGCTCCTCTAGAAGACCAGCCAGTGCCTTTAGCCACTGAGTCATCTCTCCAGCCCCATGTTGAGTGGTTTTGACTCTGACACGGGCACAGCAGAGGAGCATCAGGGGACTAGGCTCATTTCCTAGAGAACTCTTGTCACTGGAGTTTTCTTGGCATGCTGTCTATATTATTTCTAATTTCCTCGCCTTTGAGAGTTGTTGCTTCATGGCTCTAATGCAAAGAGGCAGCAGCAGGGCAGTGCTCAGTGCAGCTTTGACAGCCCCTTCAGAGCTCCCTCTCTGATCTAGTGTGTTCTGAAGACACTTTGTTCTGTTTCCTCTGTTGCCGCGGTCTGGGCCCGTCAGTTCTAAAGCAACAAGCGCATATTGTTTTTATATCCTTAGGACTGCTGAGAGAGAAAGCAAATTTATTTGTAGAATGGACCAAGCTCTGCCCTTACGTCCGTGCAAATCAAAGCGTCTGGAAGGATTATTAGGAGAGTCTGCAGGTTTGGGCTTGAGCTGGAACATATGGCAAATGGGTCAAATGGAAAAAGAAATGATTTTTAAAAGTCTTCTTGCTAATTAAACATTTTAAACCTTCACTTATTTTGCACGTGTGCATGTCTGGGCACACGTGTGTCACGGCTTACACTCGGAGGCCAGAGGACAACTTGGCGGAATCAGTTTTCTTCTTCTGCCCTGTGGGTTACAGGGACAAACTCATGTCATCAGGCCCGGTGACAAGCACTTTAACCTGCTAAACCATCTCGCAGGGCCCTATTACTAATTTTATACCAATTCTAACTTCAGATTCAAATATATAATTCTCATGGGAATGTATGTATGTATGTATGTATGTGTATGCATGAATGTATATATGACAAGGTCTCTCTACATAGTTCTTGATAGCCTGGAACTCACTCTGTGGACCAGGCTAGCCTCAAACCCACAGAGATCTGTCTGCTTCTGCACCGAGTGCTCATATTGAAGGTGTGCGCCACCATACTGGGAGAGAAATGATATTTTAAGGTTCATGGGAAGGGGCTGGAGAGATGGCCCAGAAGCTAAGAGTATTTGCTGTTCTTCCAAGGATGCAAGTATAGTTCCCAGCAGCCATGTACCTGTGTCAGGTAGCTTATATCCTCCTCTAGCCCCAGCTCCAGACACCTGGTGTCCTCTTTGGGCACTTGCGTGTACACATAAATTAAGAATAAATCATTTAAAAAAAACTTAGTGGGAAATATTAAGCTTCCCGGAGTCTGTAGGACACAAATTATATTTCCTGTCATTCTAAGATCACAGGTAAATTTTCAACCTTGGGCTACACGCACTAGAACAAGTCAATGGGATCGAACTATTTACAGGTTAGGGCGTGGTCTTTTCCAGGCTGGCCCTCAGCACAAACCAGGAGCTGGTAAAGCCGCAGTAAGGCTTTACTGCCACTGGACTAACAGTGTGCGACCACCTCAGGCGGTCTGTGTGTATTCTGATTTTGTGCCAGCAGAGGCCGCTGTGGGCCGTATTAAATTCAAATAGACTCGTTTAGGAAAGAAGGCAATTTTCAAAAGCAAGTGAATAAATCTCCCATTTCTGCAACTTTAAACAAATTCTCTCATGTTTGATCCTCTGTCCTCGGGATGTCTTCCAGACACGCAGAGATAAGTTTACCACTAAACCAAAACCACAGGAAGCAATCAGTGTCAGGCGAAGCACCAGCTCTCATTCTGGTCAGTTACCAGATGCCTTCCCGGAAGCAGGTCCAGCGGTATCTTGTCTGCCTCGTGCACTAGCCAACTGTATGACCCTGACATGACGTCTGCAAGGTGAGGACTGTATATATAAAACTGATGGGTATTACTGGCTCTTAATTTTCTATTCTTCTATCTCAGCAGGCAGTTCTATTTTGAGGCACCCAGTCTACATGGGCACTGGGCAACCACTTTTTAAAATTAGTTTTTGTTCAGTAAGGTGGTGTAGAGCGCTTCCTCCGTCCTTCCTGGAAGAGATCTTTCAGTGCCTGCCCGTACTCAGTGTCTTAGATGCTCCTTCTGACCCCTTCGTGATGGTCAGCTTTGTGCTCATCTTGAAGTCTTATTCCTAAGATTTAAAGGCACTTACCTTTCTTCGGAGCTGGCTTGGTAATGTTCAGCTTGCCAGCTTTCTTAAACAAGCCCCGGATGCCTCCCTTCCCCTCCTCACTCTCATTGTCTTTGATGGCGGCCTCCAGAGCCAGCCGCTCCTGCTCCAGTTTCTCCAGTTCATCTGAAGAGAGGAGACACAGTCAGGGACAAAGTCTCTAGGAACGATCTTACGAATAAGACAGGTCTGGCATTTCGTATAATTATGCAATAAGACGGCAACGCGATGGTATGATTTTCTTTCCCCGATCATTACAAAGTAATGTTTCCAGTAAATTGTATTCAGTACGTAGTAACAGCTGCTCGGAGAAACAGCTCCATGCATGAAGCCATGGGGCTTTTATTTGTAAGGGCAAGAAAGGCTACTTTTTTGTTTGTTTTTATTTTGAGACAGGGTTTCTCTGTGTAACAGCACTGGCTGTCCTGGACCTTGATTTGTAGACCATACTGGCCTTGACTCACAGAGATCCTCCTGCCTCTGTCTCAGGAGTGCTGGGATTAAAGACTACTACATATTGATGCCTTTATACCATCACCCAGAAAACCCGATTTAGTGAGATGATGTCACTGTTAAACTACTGACCTAATGATTAAGATACTAGGTAAGATTTTCAGCCAGCAGAAGTGACAATATTGCAGAAGTCTGCTGGGCATGCATCCCACACAGCAAGGCTCTGAACTGAAACAGAAAACTCAGGAACTGCAGACAGACACCTGGGTATGCTCGTGTACACAGGTTATCCCTGCACTGGGGAGGTGGAGGCAGAAAAGTCAGGAATTCAAGGTCATCCTTGGCTCCACACGTGATGCCAGCCCAGGCAATGCTAAGACTGTCTCAAATGGGATGGGGGCGAATTATGGAAATATAATCAGGTCTTAGAATCAGCTTCTCTGATCTCTGAATACAGATTGCAGTGAACGAATGTCCAGTACTAATTGTGTCTCTTAAGTAAACAATAATGACAAAAAAATAGCATTATGGAGTGAGTGACCAAAGGCAAAGAGCCAAAGCCGAGGTTTCTGGGAGAATGTCGGAGTCCAGATGGCTGAAAAGTCATTTGAAACACTTGCGTGTAAACCAAGAGTCAAACTGTGCAAAATTTCCTCCAGAAGGTTCAGGACCACTCTCCAGGCTTCGGTGTGACATCTGGCTGCCTTTTAGCCTTGCTGGGTTATGACCATGTTGGAAAGTTCCTAGCTGACTTCTCTCCCTTCCTCCCCATCTCTCTATATTGTATAATACATAATCTCTCCTTCGCCTTGGCAAGTAAGAGGCTATAAGCAGTCACGTGACAGTGCTGAGCTAACAAGCATATTCTCGAATTTCTGTCAGATCTTCTAAATCTCATTGACTGCTGAGAAGTCAGCCATGGGGAATAAGCCCTGCTCCAAGGGAGAGGGCAGAAAACCAGATTCAGTGTCACAGACCCCGGCTAGGGCTTCTGTAAATGTCAGCTCTCAGAACCCACCGCCTTATCTATCTGCGAAGGGACGATTCCGCCTTAGCTAAATCTGTCCAGCTCCACAGAACCACCCGGCCCCTTTCCAGGTCTTAGCAATTAATCCTTTACCGGTGGCACGCGATTTGGAGTCAAATCACCCGTGTGATCTCCCCGAAGCTTCAAAAGTTCTCATGATAAGTGGCGGTAGAAAGACTGGGAATGAAGCTGATGGTCTTAAAGACCAGGCGGGTCATGCTTGCACTGATATTAAAAGGTGAGGACGGTCTACATTGCAGAGGGGACCACAACCCAGAGGAGCTCGGCTGTGGTTCTGTGACTTCAGGCCTTTACTCCTGTGGAATGGAAGATCAGAATACTTTCCTTTTCCACCCTCTGAGCTTCATAAGAAGATGAAACAGCAGAGTGCCTTGGAGCTTCAGAGAGACTAGAGCAGCAATGTATTCTTTATACATGTATCTGTGTGCCTTCTGGAAATGGGTCTTCTCAGGCCGGGAGTTGTTTTAACACTGTTTATTGCACGGTACTCTCTGGGTACCTTGTTTTCTTCCTTTCCAAACAGCTCAGAGAGGGTTACTATGATTTTCTTCATTTTGTGGATGAAGAAACCAAAGCCCCCAAAAGTTTAATAGCTTACATGGCTATCGTCCAGCAAGGCCAGGGCTTAAGTACAAAGAGCTCTGTCTGGCTGTCAATCTGGGTGTTTCCCAGCAGGAAGACCTTTTTGCGGCTTAGAATTACTTTACAACTGTTTCTATTAACTGTTAGCCTCAGCCGGGCAGTGGTGGTGCACGCCTTTAATCCCAGCACTCGGGAGGCAGAGGCAGGCGGATCTCTGTGAGTTCGAGGTCTGCCTGGTCTACAAAGGGAGTTCCAGGACAGGCTCCAAAGCTACAGAGAAACCCTGTCTCGAAAAACCAAGAAAAAAAAAAAAACTGTTAGCCTCTCCGCCTCTCCATGAGAGGAAGTGGAACATTTGCAGGCACAGGGTACCAAGGCAAACCACAGCACCAATGATGGTTCTGGAACATGTCATTTTAGGGAGGGCTCTAAAGATCTGGGCTGGATGCGAGGTTGCCTCAGAGTTCCAGCTGGGACATTCTCTTCCAGACCTCTTCCAGGAGCTTAGCTGTAAATTACTTGGAGGTGACCATAAGGGCTGCAGGGAGGAGGGGCAGCTCCCCTTTCTTTCTTTGGCAGATTCCAGCACACCTTGTGTTTAGCTACTAACTGTGCTCCGCTTGGGCAAAGATAGTTTAAATCTTCTTTTGCAGAGGAGCCAGCTGGCCGAGAACACTCCAAGTGACTCTAGCCGTTTGTTCCAAGAGTCCAGAGCCTATCCAGGGCAAGCAAACTGTAGAATCCCAGGCCCAGGCAACAGACAAAAGTCTGCTCCTATGCTTCAAATCCACTAGCTCCCTTGTAGAGCAGGCAAACTGGTACAATCTTTCTGGAGGCTAAAATTAGCTTGCTTAGCTATCTTGGGTCTCAGGGCCACAAGTGGTGCAATCTCCACTGCACAGTAGGCTTGCAAGTCTTCATTAGAGATGACTCTCCACCGTTTGCTCCGTGGGAGATAGATTGAGGAGCCCTCCCGTGTAGCTCCTCACATTGCGGTGTGAACCAGAAGCGCCCCTTGGGTGACCTGGGTTTTGAATTATAACTGGTGTACTGCATACCTCGGTCTGCACCGGGAACGAGGAGTAGACTTTGCCAAGACATTTAAGAGGGAGGGATACTGGGAAAATGAGTTACAAAAGTCATCATTGGTCACAAGAAGGAGGCGATTCAGGGGAGCCATGAAGTTGACATTAAAGATAATTCATTCTATTCTATACCAGAACTACTCTCCTTTTTCTTTACCTTTCTCTTCCTTCCTTCCTTCATTCCTCCCTCCCTCTTCTTTCTTTCTTTCTTTCTTTCTTTCTTTCTTTCTTTCTTTCTTTCTTTCTTTCTTTTCTGAGACAGGGTCTTCCTCTGCAGCCTAGAAGTCTTCACGTAGGTGACCCCTGGGAAAGGGTCATTCAACCCCAAAGGTTGAGAACTGCTGCTCCTTACTGTGCTTCAGTGACCTGATCATGCTATTTGTCTGCCCTTTGATTTCATAGATTTTGAGAGATTTCCCAAGGCTATAATGGTGAAAGTAGATGGCCTTTAGGTTGTCAGTTGAGAGCAGGATTTGAATAACTTTCTTTCTGCATACCCCAAAACAGTTCTAGTGAGGCCAGATGTGCCCAAACTGCTATGAACAGAGGTTATCACATTCCTAAGCGCTTCACAATCTGACCACAGGGTAACCAGTCGGAGAGACTGTATTTTGAAATTCATTTAGTTGTCAAAATGGCCTCATGTTCCAATGTGTCATGTTTTTCTAAAGATATCATTTAGGGGTTTATAGTTCACTCTCTGCCCTGAATCTAAAGGCCAGCAGGATGGGGAGCAGAGAGAGCCAGAGGGCAGCCATTCTCCCCTCCCATGTTACAACCTCCTTTTTCTATATTCATTATTAAATTACAACTCTTTCCTTGGCCAATCAACTTGAAGCCACAAATGCTTATATGACTCAGTTGCTGAGCCCCAGGTGGAGTCAGGCTGGATGGAAGGCAGGAAGCAGTCCCGCGGCCCTGCCTTCCAATCAAGCAATTATTTACTGCTAGGCCATCTGTCTTTATTTTGCTAAGCCACTCAATCAGACACAGCAGGATCACCGTGCTCTGAGCGGGTCATAAATCGTGCAGTACTTACACAGGGTACTCAATTGTGACTCATACTCTATCGCTTTGTTTACTACTGCTGCAATCTGGATACTTCGTTGTAACTGGCAAACTTGCTAAATACCTCTGGAATGTGAAAAAAATATGACATGCCACATCTTTTTGTGTGTGTGTTGTCAGCCAATAAATTAATTTATTTAGAAGACTATTAGTCATCAGTATTGGGCGACTTGCTGTGGTGAGCAAGTTCTAATGTTATGAGCATCGATCTTATTTAAACAAAAAGTTATTCTCATATGAGTCTGTGGCACAGTGCAGAGATGATTGTCATTAGCGGGCAAATTACCTAGAAAGCTGATCTCTACCCAATGCGTTGTTAACTGTGGTAGATGGGCTCTGAATTGCTAATGTTCCCCTTAAATTATAATCCGTGAGGACACTGCGGTGCCCGCGTTGGGAAAGCTATGATGATTATAATTAACATCCTCTTCGCAATCCTGAAGATTTATCAGGCTCGTATTAAGCCCTATATTATAATATAATATAACCAACTGCAAGTTTGTTTCCTTTCTAATCCAAAACCTAATATAAGTCTTATGCCATAAATTGTTGGTGCTTCATAACAAAGCATGGAGCTGTGGCATCAGCTAATTTCTGTCCTTACATTTTTTTTCACATGTTCTCTGTGTATTTGAGTGACATTGCATTTTTGTTTACCTAGGTAGTTGGTACTCATAATTATTTAATTAGTATCCAACCGTATTTTCCCTTTCTTGGCTAAGAAGCAGAAATATTTCAAACATCAACGTTGGTCGAAATAGCACTTTTTTCTTTGGGAAGCTTAAAGGAGCTATAGTTCAGTGCCAAGCTTTTTTGGGGTACATTTACAGAATCTAGCGGCTCTATTGCTCCACAGAAATCAACAGTTGGTGCATTTTGGTGCCTGGAGCAGTAAGAAGTAGCGGTCATGACTTTCAGCTATATCACACACATCAGTCTAATATAATACATAAAGCAAATGCATAAACTAAATACAAATTATACTTTTTTCATTTTTAGATAGAAAACTCAAAGGCACCAAAGCCAGAAAAAAAAAATCAAAATAGATGGTATATAGGACTCAGAGGATCTGAGTTGGATCTGACCAGGAAACCTTCTCCCTGAGAACCAGCTTTCATAGTACTAGAAGGTTCTATGCACGCTCCCATGGGAGGGAGGCAGTCAATTGTCCTGCCCAGCTGTGATGCCTATGAAGCACAACAATGAACAGAGTGGTAAGATGTCCCTAAAGATGCAACAGTGGCAGTCATATCGTGGAAGTAACCAACAGCTCTTTAATCGGACTTCAGACGCTCTCAACAGGAGGGAAATCATGCCTGGTACTGGAAACCTAGCCACTATCCAGGACTAATTAGGTCATAAATCTTAGAGGAGAGCCTGCTACTGCCACTTTACTAAGCCAGCACAATTCTTAACTGATTGGAAGGGCTTATACTTATGCCCTTAAGTGTGGTCTTCATCCCACATCAAAGAAACGGCTCTCTATAATAGATGGGAAGAATTACAGAAATCCACAATGAATGATGGTGGGGAGCCCACCCCCAACTGATAGATCCACAGCACAGTTTCTGCTCAGGGAACATCTTGGAAGAGGGAGCGTAATGATCATAAGAGCCAGAGGACCAGGAAATCTGCTGTTGAAGTGTGTCTCTTAGAAATGACAGGGACATTTCTCCCTTGACACCTCAACAATAAAGCTGCCTAAATAAGACCCGAATGAGGATTCCAACACTATAATTCTAGAGAAATCTCTTTCACTACAATTATCTGTGTCATGTTAATCTTATTTCATTCACCCTAACTGGGCTTGTCTGCTGTCCCCAACAATGTTGGTTATTTATTCCTACGGCTCCCTTGGCACCAGCTACCTGGCCCCTTTCTGGCTCCTTCATAGCTTCTTTCGTGGGCAGTGTTTGCATTCTTGCAGTTTCTATTTCCACCTTACCTACGATTGATTTCCCACCTTCATTTGCTGGGGATAGCCCTGAAACCATCCCACATTAAAGAGATTTGAGCAAGGGAAGTCTGTTTTTCACAGTTCTGGGAGTGAGAATTCCAGTAGCAAGGTGTTAACTGAGGTAGTTACCCAAGGCCACTTGGCCTAGTTTGCTGGTGGTGCTTCCAACACGGTAATGCCGAGCTCCGTGCCCTAATCTCTTTCTGTAAGAGCATTAGAAGAGTTGAATTGTGGTCCATCAGTGTGACCCTGTTTTACCTTAATTACATCATGAAAGGTGATCTTTGTAGACAGTTCCAATCTGAGGCGCTGAGGTTAGGACTTTGGCATATGAACTCGGTGGTTCCTGAGGCACAGTTTAGTCTGAAACATCTAAGTCTGGATCTCAAATGCAGGCAGATTAAGACTATTGACCACCTACTGAGCATCCCAGCAGGATTTCCCACTGACTCTGAGTTGAGACACACATCTCTCCTTAAAGCTGAAACCTCTTCTTACGCTGCCCTTCTCCTTTGATACTCTGGCACTCAGTCAACCAAGGTATCTTTTTCTTCACAGCTCCCTGTCCCATATCTTACGCATTCAATCAAACTCCAGTGCTGTTCTTTATGTCTCCAAAATGCTTTTTCATTCTGCATTTTTTCTCTTCACCCCTGAAGGTGATTTCTGAGTTTGGGCTGTTAACACCCCTTGTTTCCATTATTGTAGAACTCTTTTTCAAGCACACATTTTTACAGTCTTTTTCCTTGGTAAAATATTTCAAAGCAAATTATAATCATCAACTCTCACTCCTAGAATGTTTGTATATATCTCTCCACCCTTGAATTCTAAAAATTAACTTCTTAGTCTACAAAATAATGAATTTCTCTTGACAGTTTCATACATATATGTTATTGTGCCTGGCTCATATTTGTCATATTTGTCCTCCCCACCCCCGACTACCTTCTGCTGTCTGTCCTGCCCCTCTCACTGGTCTCCTTTCTCCCTCCAAATATACCCCATTCTGTTTTCATGTCACATATATGTATACATATATGTATATATGATGGAGGAAGGTCATTGGTTAATTATAATAAAGAAACTGTTTGGCCCTCATAGGTTAAAACATAGGTGGGAGGAGTAAACAGAACAGAATGCTGGGAGGAAGAGGAAGTGAGCTCAGACGCTATGCTTCCCCTCTCTGGGCAGACGTGATGAAGCAAGCTGCCAGGTCAGACATGCTGAATCTTTCCCGGTAAGACCGGTGCTACACAGTTTATTAGAGATGGGTTGATCAGGATATCAGAATAGCCAGTAAGGGCTAGAGCTAATGGGCCAAGCAGTGTTTAAAAGAATACAGTTTGTGTGTTGTTATTTCAGGCATAAGCTAGCCAGACGGCTGGGAGCAGAGTGGCAGGAATGCAACCCACAGCTCCTACAACATATATATATATACTTAAACCTAGATGTCACATATGCAGGAGAAAGTGACATCTCTTTCTCCATTCTTGACTTCTTTGAGTCATGCCTCAAATGACTGAAATAGTATGAACGTTATAAGCCAAGTTTAACCATTATACTCTGACTTACATCCGTCTGAGGATTCTCACTGGTGACAGACTACAGCCCACCCTTTGAGTACAGCAGAAGCATGGGAAGCCCTCAGCATTGCTCGCCTCCTACTTTTGCCTTGAGTGGTACTGATCTGCTCTGGCTATGCACATACCCACCCATCCCTGTCCCTCATCTTAACCTTTCTTCACGCTCACCTCCAGGCAAGAGATGTTTGTTCTCAAGTCTCATTATTTTTCTGTCCCTCAACATTGCTTACTTAACTTCTACTCATCCACTAAACCTATGTCTTAGTTAGGGTCTTTATTGTTGTAAAGAGACACCATGACCTATGACCTCGGCAACTCTTACAAATGAAAACATTTAATTTTTCACAGTTTTGGAGGTTCAGTCCATTATTATCATGACAGAGAACATGGCAGCAAAAGGCAGACTTGGTATTGAAGAAATGTTGAGAGTTCCATGTCTTGCAGGCAACAGAAAGTCAACTGACAAGTCACACTGAGGGAAGCTTGAACAAAAGGGATCTCAAAGCCTGTCCCAGCAGTAACACACTTCCTCCAACAAGGCCACACCTCCTAATAGGGCTCCTCCCTTTGGGAGGCCATTTTCTTTCAAACCACAACAACCTCAAACCATATTTCTTCCAGGAAGCCTCTTTGGGAATTAGATGCCCGCCCCTTTTAACCATAATTTCTCATTCATACATAACGACCACACTAATAACCATTTCCCGTCTACAATGCCAGTTTCGTAAGTGTAGAAACCAGGCTTATTAATACTATATTATCATTAATGCCAATACCTTCACCTGCACTCTGCGTGCTCTATTGTAGGTGTCCCAGGCTCTCCCCTTATCTTACTTTGCAACATTAGAAGACTCAGTAGAAAAGCTCAGCTGAAAAGGAGGGCTTGTGTTCTATCCTAATCTTTCAGAAACTCTTCACCTGTGGCTCTCCTTGCTTCATACACCAAAAGGATACATTTAAATTCTAAGAGTAAAGAACTCTACCACATTCTCTGTAGTGAAGCAATAGTACTGATCTGAACGAGTGTTTCTGCCTGTGCGCTACTTAGAGATTCACAGACCTGACACGTTCAGATTCATTTCCACGGTGGCTACAAACCAGTCCTTGTCAGCTGAAAGCAAAATACATACTTCTCCATGGGGGAGGGGGTCTTCATTTTCTGAAACACCCTGCAGAAATTAATTTGGCATTCTACTTTACTGAAGGTGTTCATTTACCTCGGTGCTGGCTTTGTGGTATTACAATAAGAAAAATCGTTAGCTACCCTGAGTTAGTCTATATCTCTGAATACGAGGACAAAGGCTACTTGTGTGAGCCACGGGAAAGCACACGTGCAGTGCACACAGCATGGGCTGAGGGAGAAGCATTTTGCCCATGCTGGGCACTGTTCTGACCCCACCCCAGAGGAAAAAGTCACCATCTGTTGAGAGGATAAGGAAAATACTCACCTTGGACCTGGAGAACTGGAGAGATGTCAAACCCTTGGCTGATCCTGACGATGACCACACCGATCTCAAAGTCAAAGGCGTCGCTGGAAAGAGAAGCAACATACTAAGTTTCCAATGTTTTCTTCTACCTTCACACAGGGTAAATATTAAACTTGTCTCTAGGATTTTGATATCATGAAGCTATTGAAATTCACTTCAGAACACAGCTAAGAGCTGATGTCTTCTTTGAGTTTTTTTTTTTCTCTCCTTTGTACCATTAAAAAATAAATTTTGGGTGGAGGTTGAAGCTGATTTGTTCTCATAGTCCCATCAGGTAGCTCTCTACACACTTTAAAATAATTAATCTATTATTAGGTGATCAAAACAATCTGATATATTTACAATGGAACATTTATAGATGGCAAAAATCTTCTGAAATTATGTGCCTTCCCTCCCTGTCACTGGTAAGACATCTCCAGGGACACTGGGCAACAAGTTTATGTTTAAAATGTCTCTAGCACAGCAGTTGGGAGGCACAGGCAGGTGGGTCTCTGAGTTTGAGGTCAACCTGCTTTACATAGTGACTTCCAGGACAGCTAAGACTACAGAGTTGAAACCCTGCCAACAAACAAACAAAAAGATTTCTGGTTTCTCTGAGGAGCTTTTGCTACAGATTCTGCACAGGCTTCAGAGAAGTGCTTCTCCCTGGAAGTCCTGTGTCCTCGCAGATGGCTCTGATGTCTTCTCAGCCCCAGCCTAAGGAAAGTTAAAGGATGTAGACGAGACGGAAAAGCGGTTGGTTTATCTCAGCTACTGTAGTACACGTTATAGATCTGGAAGCAAGCCTTATTTATTATTATTATTTGTGTTAACTAAATGTTTCTTACTCTGGAAGTTCCCTTATTGGCTCATCTGCAGAACTGAGACCCAGAATTCCTTATGATCAGGCCTTCCTCTGCAGCATCACTGTAGTCTGTGATTGATTGCTCAGGACCCCCTCTGCAGTATCACTGTGGTCTGTGATTGATTGCTCAGGTCTCCCTCCACAGTATCACTGATGTAGGTGATGGTCATCTTAAGCAACAAGCTTCCCAATAAGAAGTCGACCAGAACTTTCAGGGAATGATAGGAAGAAGTTCCACTCAAAGTTCAAACGTAAATTATCTTCACTTAACAAAGTAGGTGTATTCTAAGACAGAACTCTACATAAGCAAACCTTGTTTCTATTTAAACTGGATAATGAAAAGCTAGATAATTAGTTTCACAAAGACCATGCTGATTCTTTCATAGGCAGATGCATGGGCTTGATAGCGCATCTTAAGTCCTAAAGCCAATGAATGCTTTTCCTCACAAGACGAAGGGGTCAAGGCTTTGAAAAGGGGAGAGCATCCTACAGCGTCTGCCTGGGCCAGAGGCAGTGACAAGGGTGCTTGACAGTGAGGCTGAGAGACAGAAGAGGTCTGTGCACTGTGGCTATGGCTGCATTGGAGGTGGAAAAAGAGGGCCACCAGTCGCATCCACTCCTGGGCAGCTTCTAGGAGCTGGAAAGGCAAGGTAGGACTTGATACCAGGGCCTCCTATGGTATAATGGACAATCTAGCCTGGTCCACTTTGATTTGGGCACAATAAGAAATGTGTTAGATGTCTAACTCATCAAACTATAAGGTGATAAAAAAAACTAAGACAGATTCTAAGTGAAATCAACCATATTTGTGATACAGACATTTCAAACCTTTTGTTCATAGGAAGATAGTAAGACACTACACGATTGTAACCGTAGCCTCGCTCTAGCAGGATGTGGCTACCTTCCTCTCGATTGCTCTTTGGAGGTGGAATTATTCAATTTTATACTAATGAAAACTTGGATCACGTTAGTTAATATTGAATTTTACTACCAAGAACACCAGTTGCTAACGTGTTGTAAAAGCCAGAGGCTTCCTCAGTTTGATGTTACTAGGCTCTATCATTTTGATCCTTGGAATTGAGTGTTTGGGATGATGGAGAGGCTGATCACAGGAATGCTACATCAAAAACTGGATTATGAGGATTTGATTGATTACACAGTTCTTATATCTTCTGGTCATATAAGATAGATATGTAAGATTATATCTTATCTACACTTGCATTTCCTTCTCCACCCTGTTTGTTGACATAACAGCCAACCCAGGATCCCAAATGTTTCCAAAGAAAATTTCCTTCTCCTCTACCTGTCCCTTGTCTTCAATCTAGTAAAAGACTTTCAGGCTATTCCTTAAACATTATATACCTGGGTGACCTGTATACCTTAAACATTTGCCTTTTCTTGACTCCAATATCACCCCACCCAACCTCCATGGATACTTCAACTCCTTCCACTTATTGGTGGTGTGGGGTTTTATTTTCCCACTTTGGTAAAGATTTTACAGGAGCAGGAGAATGCGTTCTTCTCCAGCAGGTGAATCTGACACAGAGAGCTTTGTGTGTCCAGGTTGCCCGCTACCCTGGTCACTGCATCATCAACAGGGGCCCATCCTGGAAGCCATCACTTACTGTAGGATTCCCACGTAGTTCTCAATCTCTGACAAGGGAGCTTTCCTCCAGTTCTTTTTATATCCAATCACTAGAGTGTTTGGCTTCATTCTCCCCAAGCCTGAGGCCTAAACAGAGGACATAAACACATGAGCAATCCTTCCGGTGCCAGTGAAATACTACTGCAAATGAAAAACGATGTCAAAGAGCACTGGAGTAATGTTCTGAAGATTAGATTACATCTTAATGTATGTCCTTCATGCCCGTACCCAAGCATAAAATAGGAAGATCAGTTCTGAATCATCTCAGCCATAAATGGGTTTTAGATGACAGGAATGTAGCTTTGCTAAATTAGCAGTCATTTGCATTACTTCTGACACACTCATTAAAATGGTTCAATAATTTAAAATCAAGTAAGGGTTGGCTTAACTGTCGATGTGCAGAGGTTCAGAACTCATTTCCAACAGTGATGTCCAAAATGTCATCAACGATAAAATCCATGTTTTGGCGATCTCTGTATACAAGGACCATTGAAAGTTTCCTTCTCTTATTTACCGAAGAATGACTGAACTGTGCTTCCCAAACAGACTGCTTCTGCATGGTAGTGTCCTTAGGCATTATATTTCATATCAAAATTTTCGGTCAACTTTAAATGACAGGATATGGCTTCCAGTTAATCAGATTTAATGTGGTCATATTATCAAGTCTGTATTAATTACAAAGTGATGTCTGAGGTACTTGGAGCTTGGAATAACATGGAGGAGACAAGCTGTACATAAGCAGTTGTAACCCAAGAGTAAATGCAACAGAGGAAGCCCAGGGACACTTGCGCTCCAGCTGATGGCTCACAGCTTCATGGGGAAGCGACATTCGTTCTGGATCTTCAAGTTTAATTGAACATTGACAAGTAGAGATAAGGAGAGCTGCTAATGAAGGAAGGTCACTGGGTCCTGAAGATACTAGAGAAGCGTCCAGCACCAGCCATGCTAGAGGACACAGTCCCGAGTAGAAGGACATAGACACAATCGGCATGAACTTGGCCTTCCATACACTTGGTGTGTGCTTTATGTGAAGCTGCATATTCAATTTTTTTTACATTTTTGAATGTTTCTTTACTTTCATTTTTTTCATGATTCTTTTACTATTTAAAAAAAAAAACCTTGACAAATTTATTCATGTCTATGTTGAATTCTGGGCTTTTTCATGCCCCCTCAGGCCCTCTCTACTCTTTGCCTTCTGCTGAAGCCCTTTTCCTTAACATGCTGACACCTGTTTTGATGGCCATCTTTTTTTTTTTTAATTTATTTATTTACTATGTATACAGTGTTCTGCCTGCATATATGCCTGCAGGCCAGAAGAGGGCACCAGATCTCATTACTGATGGTTGTAAGCTATCAGTAATATCAGTATGTAATTGCTGGGAATTGAACTCAGGACCTCAGGAAGAGGAAGCAGGGCTCATCTCTCCAGCCTCAATGGCCATGTTCTTAGTCCACTGAGTTTAACTGTGGTCAGTTGCATGGCCATAAATACACATGAGGCTACTAACTGGCACACAGTCAACTTATTGGTGGATATATAGCTGAAGAAATGACTTTATTCCCCCCCCCCCGCACCCATAAATTGCCCATAGCCCTTCTATAGGGGGTGAGGCTCCGGAGTCTCCTCCCCTATGCATGATAAAATCAGTCTTGGTCCAATATTGTGTAGGTCTTGTGCCGGTAACCACGGCTGCAGTGAGTCATGGCTGTGATGCCCGTGTCATGTCTGGAAGATGCTATTTTGTAGCAGCCCCAACTCCTGACTCTAACATTCTTTGTCTCCCTCTACTGTGACGTCCCTGAGCCTTGGAGAGGATGATGTTGCTAACCCCTTTAGGGCTCAGTACACCACAATCATTTGCTCTTCATACATTGACTAGTTGTGAGTCTTTCAACATTAAGTAACACCTATTGCAAAAGAAGCTTCTCTGATGAAGGCTGGAACCAGCCCTAATCTGTGGCCATAAACACAGTGTCTATTTAATAAATCAAGAAGAGTGGTCTCTCCTCTGGGGTCTGTGACTTCCCTACTCACAGGCTCTTGACCAGGTTTCTATGAAAAGAGTTCTCCAGTGTGGAGGAGGCCTCAAATCCAAACAAAAGTCTCTAGTTATCTCTATAATGGGCATGCTGCTGTTACTCAAGTGGGGGTGTCTTGCCAGACAGGTGATTCTTATAGAACGCCTGGACAGAGGCTGTAACTGCCAAGGCTGATCAGCTGATCCAAGGGTGTGGCGAGACTGGGATGCTGCAAATTCAGAGCCAAGAACTTCCTATTGCCTCCCTCTGTGGGCCAGCTAATATTATTGCAGTCACTAGGCTAATATTTTGAAATACACAAATGCTATATTCAGAGAGTCTTTGGATTGTTTTATATTTTTTTTTCGTATTTTAAATTACTGAGATGAGAACTGGGGAACAGTTTCTGTATTCACTACAGAAGTAGAAGAGGGAAGGGCAAAGGAAAGAACGAGGGAGAGAGAAAAGGGCAGACTCCGGCATGTAGCCATAGACATGATCACATCTATTTAACGTTCTGGAAATAATTCCCAAGGCTGGGGCGGTTTTCCACCCTGATCTACATGCATTTATTAGTGGAGTCTTGCAGCTGCCCACCCGTCATTTGCAAAAGAAAAAATAGGAAAGATGCCTGACCGGACCATGGCTACCTGCTGTAGGAGAGGCAGAGTTTGAAGTTTTAATAGGGTCCTGAATGTCCTCAACCACTGGAACAAATTTGCATTTCAATGAGTGTGGGGACAGAGCGGTGCTGGTAGCCAAAGGCAAACTCATTTTCTGCTTCCAGTCGATCATTTCTAGTTCAGTGTAACAGAACCTCGGCTTTTGCCCGTCACAGAGAATTTGAAATGTGTTCCCTGGTCATCTGTCTCGGTCTCCGATGCTTCCTTGGTGAGTGGCCTAACGCTAGCCATTGGTTTGAGGTGCTTCATCCACCAGATGCTGTCTTCTGCCTCTGGGCTCACTCCCTCGGTGCCTGCCTTACCTGAAGGAGACTCCGGACACCATCTCGGAAATAGTCTGCTGCCACTGCTGCGTAAAAAGCCTTGATTTTGTTCTTTATGAGCCAGGCCTGTTTTTTAGCCATGCCGCTGTTCATCTCCTTGACACACAGCTTGCGAGGGCCCTGTATGATGCAATGAGATATTAGTTAGAAGCCCAACTCTTATACGGCACACTGCTGTTGTTTTCCAAGTGACCAAGCCAGCCAGTCAAGCCCCATTGAATGAAGATACGGGATTGAGGGAAATGTACCCCCTTAAATGGGAACCTTGTTTTGGGAGAGGACCTGTGCTGCTCATTTTGAACTAGAACTCATTTTCAACCCCAAATCCAGGCTTAATAAACAATTGCCTTCTACAGAATGGAAACAAAAAGCTGAGGGTGTTGGTGGCACACGGGGAAAACACTCAGAACATGACTGAAGAGGCTCATGATGAATCCACAAGCAATCTGTGATTCTACAGTGAGAGCCACGTTTATGAACCTCAGAGAAATCTCAGTTAGATTCCAATGTCAAGAAATGGACATATCTCTTGGGAGCCAGTGTATGACGAACTGCAAGTTCTGCCACAAGCGCACATCCCGACAGTTCTATTGGTGCCTAAGCACTGCCTGTAGGTGTGGTAAGAATTCCTTCATTCTATTCTTTCCCTGCATCAATACACTTATAATTGGGCAAGTTAATGCTTCCTCCTCATTTATTAAATTTGGTGGGGACGAAAGGCCTTGTGTCCATGACATGAGAGAATGAGATAGGCTAAGGGAAGCCAAGGCAGGCATGGTGGTGGTAAAGCATCTAGTAAGCTCAAGGTTTAATTCTGGAATCCAATGTTCAACTAACAGGTCCTCTTCCTTCAAGGTTCAGGTTCCTCCTCTTCTTCTCATGACTTAATGCAGTCCCAGAGGTATTTCTGTTTGTCGCCTATGCGTCTGGCCCGACACATGTGAGCTACCTACTTTCTCCAGTCTAAAGAGGGATTTGTATTTTGTTTGGATGTCTTTGATATCAAGTCCTTTGACATCTTGATCCCATGTGGTGAAACTGCCCCTAGACGGTATAGAGTAGGGCATAAGTGTCCATATTTCTGATAAACTTCCAGGTGATCCAGACACTACTGGTTCCCCAGACTGCACTTAGAATAGAAGACTCAGGGGTCTTTGACGGGAAACAAAGGACTTTGGGATGCAGGAAAATAAGGTACAAGATTTGGTGTCAGACAGACCGTTTCTAGCCCAACGACGCTTGGCTACTTTGGAGGTCATGGCTTATCTCTGAGCTTTGAAATCTTATTCTGGATGTGGGAATAAACGCCCTTTTCCTGCATGGCTGTCTGAGTAGTAACAGTAAGTGTAAGGCATCTCGTGCTAAGCTTAGAAAGCACCAGGTGCCTACCTGCAGCCTACTTCTGCCATTGCAAGTGGATGTTCATAATTTCAGTGACATCCCAGGCCTAATTCTGTATTGTGTCTGCTCTACCGCACCTTTGGAATGTCACTGAGCTGGGAGTCAGAGTGCTGGGTTTAAATGTGGCTCTGGACTGACTCGCTGGCACAAATGGTGTCCTTTCTTGAGGGAAAATATATTTATACAAATAAGGCAATTTCTGGGTCACCACTGCCCAATATAACAGCTCTCATCCACATGTTATCCCTGAGCATAAGAGATATCCTAGAGGTCTTGGTACACAAATATATGTAACATAACCTCATTAGCATTTGTGATTATTGCATGTTGAAATAACATTTTGGATATATTTGAGTTAAACAAAAGAAATTATTAAAATAACTTCATCTATCTTTTGTCTTTTTACTTGACAACTAGAAGATTTTAAATTATATATACAGTATGTATTATATTTCTGTCATACAGCACAAATTGAGCTTCGGGGCCATTTCCATTTTGGTACTTTGTTTAAATTGGATCAATTGTTCTTTATGTAGCTAGTAGTTTGCCAGCATATGTTCTAGAAGTTACCAATATTCCGCCAAAATTGATTCACTTATGTTAGTCAAAAAGCAAGAGCTTTCAATGAAGATGGAAAAGGTGGAGTCTGAAGACCTGGACCTCAGGAAGGTATGATAGATAGTATGGGAGAAGTTTCACTCAGGGCTCCAGAAGTCAGTGCCTTTTAAACTCCTAGCCCTCCCGTGGGCATTCTAGGCTTCACCCACGACAAGAGGAGGAAAGAATATTGTACTGAAGGTCGCTTAATGTTGATGACAACCATCAGACAGAAGAACAACCAACAACTGAGAAAGATGTTAGACCATCAGAGTCCTAAGCTACCCTGTAATGACTGTAAACTCCTGGGGAAAATGGAGCTTACTTAAAGAAATAGATCTAACGTATGTCTGTTAGTATTACAAAAATCTGGATTAAACATTAATGGTGACAGAGAGATTTATTTTAATGACTGAGTTTGCCATACTGAAAAGTCATAAAAATATTTCATACAGAATCTCTTTTTGCTAAAAGGGATTACGATGTTCTCGTAGCGTGCTCATTAATATGAGTTAGACTGTAAGGCACTTAAGAAGGCTAAAGCCACCAACAGAAGGGGGACATTCTGGAGCATCATTAACCAATAGTCAAATATGCCATGATCACAAAAACGGATTTTATCGCCCAACGAATATATTATTGAGATTAACTTCTGTCAGCATTCCCAAATATGAGCACACAAATTAATTCTCCAATTTGAAAAATGTGTATATTTATATCAACTATGCTTCCATATGTTGAGAGACTCGTGATTTTGCTTTCATTGCTTCTCTGGTTGGAACTACTGGAGGCTAATTTCTCTCCTTTTCTGATTTGGCCCATGAACCATGTCATATACCCTACTGCTCATTCTTAGGTCATTTCCTTCTTCCTCTATTTGTAATGTCATTATTTTATTAGCGTCTTTATAAAGGCCCACTGACACAAAGAGTTTAGCATCCCTCATCTGAAATTTGGAAGCTGAACAAGAAAAAGACAAGGGAAGGGAGAGGGTGAAGGGTTAGCTCTTCATGGCTGAACATGAGTTAGGTGCATAGGGGTCTAGCAGATCCACTGCCTGGACCTGAGGGTATCTGGGCTTTGGTTGAAGACTACGTATTTCAGGAACGAAAATAGCAACTATCATACTCTCTCAATAATAACATCACAACATTAACAAAAATAACAAAGTTAATTCAGTATTCACTGTTTGACAGACACAAAATAGTGCATGAAGTCACATATAATTCTCACGATGACCCTAAAACAGATGATTCTTTTATTCAGAGAGACTAAGCTACGTGTATAAATGAATCAAAGCTAATAAGTAGCTAAATAGTGGCTCCAAATTTGATTGTCAGTTTCAAAGACCCCGGGGAACTTGCTTCCTGGAGTTGAAAACAAAATTGTATCTCCCTTCCCATCATCACTACTTAACATTTCCATAAGGCTGGCTTAACCATCATCAGTATTCTTTGGGGAAAGACATTTCCAGTGGTACGCTGCCTCCCCTGCATCCCTTTCCATCTGTTTCCTTGGAAAGATGATTGACAGCTGAGCCTTGAATCTAAACATTCTGACAGCATCCGCAGCCTCAGGAGTTCACAGGAAGTAACTAACCGGGAAGTCTTTAATCGATGCAGTAACTGTTTTCTGTTCCCAAGAGAATTTTGGCATTGGGGAGTCGGACTCACAGGGCTTTCACGGAGACATCAGCACAGTTATGTGAAGTGTTGTCCAACATATGTATGAACCTACCAGATCACACACTTACTTCACATGAAAAGGTTTTCCAGGACTGTAGTCCTTTTTGCAGCTAAGGAATCAAAGGGTTAGTTAAAAGCGGGGTTTCTTGTCTCCATGGAAGACCTTTTCTCCCTTGCCAATATATGACTGTTTATATTTCTTGTTCATTTCTCCGGTCCTGAAGAAATTTTCTTGCTTGCTAAACCAAATTTTCTCTAAATTGCTAGGGCAGAAAAACACCCCAAACTGCTTATCCCATCAAAACCGGTTTCTATATTATATTGGCCAAAATGAAATCCACTAATGCAGGGCACTAAAGTTGATAATAAGAGAGAAAGGCTCTTGATAAGTTTTTAACAAATTCTCTGGAGTCACAGTTGGCCATAACCTAACCTGTCAATCTTCCCGACTCAGTAGCTCTCTCCACCCCACTGGATAATTGTATTTAGTAATATTGCTTGAGTTACTGTCATCTAAGCACAGAAAAGGAAAGAGAACGTGGCCAACTTTCATAGCATTTAGGATATTGCTAAGTTTTAGATGTTTGAGTGTTTCTTAAGATGCAATATGGCAAATTAGTTCACTGTGTCGTTGAAGCGTTGACTGCCCTCACACGCATTCCTTAGCAAGACTGGAAATGTAAATAGTGGTCTTTGTGACTGTTCTCTCAGGCCGTCCAGGCTTTCTTCCTCATGGCCTAACAAGAGGCGCCCTGGGAGGCCGCCACGACATCCCAATTGCCATTTTCTTGTTAGGATGGTCCAGTACATCCTAACATCCTGCTTCTTTTTTTTTTTTCCAGTTAGTAAAATAAAAACAAGAGTTTCTTTGTTTTCTGTGTCTTAAGTGCTTGCAGATCAAATAAGAAATTGGGAAGATGCTTTGAAGACTATGTAAGTATTTAGTCATGTAAACACACGTTGATAAACATTTAAATTGAGAGAGACACAGAGAGAGCACACAGACAGAGGAGAGAGAAGGAGAAAAATGAGAATACACGCAAAGGCAGGTTAGTATGGAGGATTTAGATAAACTTTAATTTTAATTTCAATGCTTTGTATTCATTTGGAGGATTGGTAAATAATTATTGTTTACTTTTTAGCATCTACTTTGGAAAACCTTCTAGAAAAACCTCTAGTCCCTTGTTAGTCCCCCGCACAGTCTCAAACAACAGGAAGTTTGCTCAACTCTGTCAAAGGCGTGGAATGCTTAGCTTAATTCTCCAGAGATTTGTAGTGTCATCACAATTATCTAAATATTTCATCTAAAATCCACGTGTGGTTATAAGGCCATTATGTTTGGTTTCTTCTTATTGGCTTCCATAGACTCATGAGTGTTCTGGTATGATCTTTCCCACTGTTTTAATTTAGACAGTTATCAACCCAGATATCTCCATTTTATTTCTGAGCTAGTTATGTTCTTGAGTCAAAGGCCATAACTTAAAAATATTTATCACTTTTAAGTGGTCTCCTGAGAAATCAGAAATATATTTCATCTATCCATTTAAATTCACTATTACTTTTTCTGCTAGTTCTGAATCAAAGAGAACTCTTGTTCAAGCTATCCTGTCACTTCCCTATTACTGTAGGTATCAGCTGTGGCACCTAGAATATCTCAAGGTGAGTGCTCCTCTTAGGTGAGCACTTCCCCTTGGGTGAGCACTTCCCTTGGGTGAGCACTTCCTCTTGGGTGATCACTCCCCTTGGGTAGATACTCCCCTTGGGTGAGCACTCCCCTTGGGTGGACACTCCCCTTGGGTGAGCACTCCCCTTGGGTGGACACTTCCCTTGGGTGAGCACTCCCATTGGGTGAGCATTTCCCTTGGGTGAGCACTCCCCTTGGGTAAACACTCCCCTTGGGTTGAGCACTCCCCTTAGGTGAGCACTCCCCTTGGGTGGATACTCCCCTTGGGTGAATACTTCCCCTTGGATAATGCAACTCTTACCACAAAGACTTCACAGCAGATGCAGAGGCCGCTGTTCTTCGTAAAAGCATGAGTTATATCCAAGAGAGCAGGTCTTGCCATGGGTCCCCCTGTTAAGACAATGCACTGGGGTCTGAAAGGAAAGAAGACATGAGCATTGGCCAGTGCAAGAAGCATGTGTAAAGGAAAAAATCAGAAAACGTGGAAAAATGGAACATCCATTTCCTTAATAATTTCTTGGATTTCCCACCAGAGTCCTTGAATTATCCTGACTGCATCTTGTCGTCTTAGGAAGTTTTGTTTAACTAATCACAGCAGAAGTATGAAGTAGGGAAAGGGTAGTCCCAGGCTCCCCTTGTCTTTCTTTTTTAGGCACTACATCACCCCAAGTCTCCAGACAGCCTGTCCATCTCTCATCAGTATTTTCACTAACCTCCCTTGTTGGCTTATGTTGTGAGCACCATTATATATAACTAATGAAGATCTAAAAATCACTGCTTCTCCTCAGGGAATTCATTAAACCACCCAGTCCCAGATTGAATGCAGATAAGACCGGGGATTAACACGCATGGGGATCTGACATCTCGTCCTTTAAATCTTTGTGACTCCAGGCGCCAAAAATGGCACAGCAGGGTGAGGAGCTGTGGCTCTAGGCGGGCAGAGCTCAAAACGGAAGGAAAAACACATTCATTTCTGCTCTTGGTAACAGTGTGAATTCTATCCAAGAACGCAGGCCTTCTGCCACTGTGAAATTAGGTAGCTTTGCTATTCATGTCTGAAATGAGCCCACAAAGCTACTCGCAGCCCCACTGATGTATTTGGCTTCCTCTAAATGAAAGACACTTGGAATGTGGAACACCAGGGGACCCCCCAAAACCAACTTTACCTGAAATTTTTCACATGGTCTTCCACTGTGGTTAATTCCAGAGCATTGTCTAAAGCGCTCACATAGGAAAGCGCCTGGGTGGAGGAACCCCAGTTCACATCTGTGGACAAAGGAGGAAATTGGTACCTCCCCAAAATTGACCTTTTCTCTGCATGCCTTGAATACTTTTTAGTAAACCATTCTCTCCTGCAAGTTTTCTTGCCTATGCAAGCAGTGATGAGAGCCCAAGTTAGAGAAAATACAACATAGGGTTTCCTGGAAAGAGCCTTGTACCCTCCCGTGAGCACCACGTGAATCCTTAGGAACGTGCCTCCCTTCCAGCCAGGGTCACAGTGTAAATCTGCAGCCCCAGAAAGCCTGTTCAGTAAGAAAGGTTGCGTGGTGATGCCCACACAGGCAGAAAGCCCAAGGCCTTCACAGATTCTTCATAGGAAACAAAAGAGGGATTTCTGTGTGCAGGGGTAGTGCGCAGTCATCCTTCTCTTCTGAGCGGCAGAGCTCATCAGCTTGGGAAGTTTTGCTTGTGGGGGTCTTGAGGAGAGTTTTAGGCTCTTAGCGAGTGTCTCAGTCTGGCCTGCCAGAAACTAACCTTTCAAAGAGGGAGCTCAGCGCTCTCTCTGCTTCAAAAGCAGTGTGTTTAAATATTAAATGAACTTGGTAAGTCTCATGATGGGAGTCTCAGGGGCGAACTGACAGATCTTCCTGGATGGCAGGTCTCCCAAGGCTTGCGGAGCGTGGGCACAAGTGAATATTCTATCTGACGATCGAGCAGAGTAATATGAAGTGTTGACTCTGTGTGTGTGTGTGTGTGTGTGTGTGCGCGCGTGCGTGCGCTCTCATGGCACAGCAAATGTGTTGGTGGTCAGAGGGCAAGTTTTGGGAGTGGGATTTTCTCCTTCCTCTGTAGGCTTGAAAGATTGCATTCGGGGTGTTCAGGCTTACACGGCAAACATTTCACCCGCTGAGCTAAATTGCCGCCCCGGTACTCACCCTCTTAAGGCAAAACCCTCTACTAGTCAATTTGATCTTCATATGTAAAAGAAGGAACTGCAAACCATACTATATACCAAAATTAACTGCAGTAGATAATGGACTGTAATCAATTATCAAAGTAGCAAAAGTTCTAAATGTCTGTAGCCTTAGGTTGAGGGAAGATGTCTCAGGTCTCTCTCTCTCTCTCTCTCTCTCTCTCTCTCTCTCTCTCTCTCTCTCTCTCTCTCACACACACACACACACACACACACACACACACACTCACACATTACAAAAGATAAAATATAAAAAGAAAGATCAATTAGTCTTGATTAAAAAAATAAGAATGTGCATTGATAAAAGTGAACTATCAGGTAAATGAAGCGAGAAGCCATGGGCCTGGAGAAAATAGTTAGAAAGTACACACTGCAAGCGGGCAGACTACACAAGGAAGCCTCACATTGAGTTAGAAAGCAGTAAAAAAAGAAGACAAAGGATTTAAATAGCTGCTTAATAAGATGTATAAATGGCATGTACGATTTTCAGTGTCGTTAGTCACTAGAAAAATGCACACTGAGTGACAGAGGCTAGGACTACGCCTCTATTACAGGGACTTCAGAAACCAACTGGCAATGCTACCTGCTGACAAGGGTGTGGAGTGACCAGGACACCTTTTTAGGCTGCTGTTTGGAATGGAAACTAATACTGCTATTGTGGCAGACAATCTGGCAGTGAAGTTACAGACACTGTGTACAAGCAGTCTTGCTCCTAAGCATTTACTCAACAAAAATAAAAACACCTATCCACTTAAATTATATGTATATATTAATATATAAATAACACATATGATACTAATATATAAAATTGTACATAACATATATATTCCAAATTGAAAATTACCCAGATGTCTATGAACTGTCAGTCAGCAGCAGAGACTTGTGGTATGTTCATCTATAGAACACCACTCATCAATATCAAAGGACAAATTGCTTATACATGCTTCAGTATGGACAGATCTAAAAGTTCATGCCAACCCAAAAGTATCCATAAGGACTATATACCATGATTCTATTTATATGGTATTCTGGAAAAGACCAAGTCATAGGTTCAGAAGTTAGAAAAGTGGTTGCTAGGAGCTAAGTTCTCGAGAAAGAGCTGAACACACAGGTGTCTAAGGGGACTCTTGGGGAAATCCCACACCTTTATTGTGATGGTGACAAGGGCTTATAAGTTTGCCAAAACTTATGGCTGCACATTTAAAGGGGGTGGAACTTTCCCAGCAGTAAATTGTACCCATCACTAATATTGTATGTATCCACAATTTACCCCTGTTCTTCTCCCTGGAGGCTCGTTCTCTGGATCTGGCATAGCCCACCTCCAAGTGGCTTGATATTGTTTTAGAACTTAATCCATTCATTTCAACAAATATTTATTAAATTCATGTAGAGTAGTTGGCTCTGTGAGTACAAACTGTGAACCAAGAAAGAATTTTGAACAACTCCAAGGTTGCTTGTGCCTCCCCATTTCCCCAGCAATTGGTTAAACTGCTCGTGCGATACTCACTCTTGGCTGTGAGTCTGAGAACTCCTTCAGGACAGGGGCCCTATCTCATTAGGACATTAGAAGAAGGAGATGGAAGGAAAGCTTGCGAGGTTTGTGGTCATATGACTGTGATCTAAATGTCAGCTCTATCACGCTCTGACTTTTATTTTGGCAAGTGATCAATTCTTTGGAATTTCTTCACAACTATAAAGTGAGCCTCAGACCATCAGGTGCGCAGCATCACTGTGTAGATTAAATGAACACACAACTTGTATAGGGCTCCATGCTGCTAATGACCATTGTCTTTAGATTATGCAGCATTGTGATGGACTGCCTTGCACACACCACGTGTAAGCATGTGTAAGCTACATGATAAACATTCAGTGGTTGGACAGAGAAGGCCATGGAAGGCCATCCTAGGCGGCCTTTCTTCTCTTACCTGGCTTCTTATAAGTCACATAGATATAGAGGGACAACTCGATGACATAGGTGATGACAGCTGCCCACCAGTTGATGACGAACATGACTGCACAGCACAAAATTGCTCCAAAAAGAGATACCCACATGTTGTAAATCCCATATGCCGGCCTCCATCCTGGAAGGAAAAACAGCACAGGAAGATTTTTGCTGCTGTCCACTCTCTATTGTAGGGGGCAGATAACATGTGTTCCTCTGGCATTAAAAAAAATTGACATTTTTAGGTTCGTTTCCTAAATCAACTGTTTTTCTATGTTCTTTGATCCTTGGTCTACAAAGAGGTCTTTTTTATACCAAAGACGATGCTGTAAGATTTGGGAAATAGAAAACATCTGGAAAGGAGGTGGCCCTCAACCAGACCCCTCTGTGCTTTCTGTGTGTCCTGGCTGTCTGAAATCAACACCATCAGGAATGGGAAGAAAGAAGGTGGGTTAGAGGGCTGGAGAGATGGCTCAGTGGTTAAGAGCGTTGCCTGCTCTTCCAAAGGTCCTGAGTTCAATTCCCAGCAATCACATGGTGGCTCACAGCCATCTGTAAGGAGGTCTGGCGCCCTCTTCTGGTCTTTGGGCATGCACACAGAATATTGTATACATAATAAATAAATAAATATTAAAAAAAAAAAGAAGGTGGGTTAGAAAATACATTGTCTTTGCAATAGGTAGGGTGGAAGAATCTCCTCTCTACTCAAGAACCAGTTACAAAAGTGGTTCCTTTGCTCCATGTGTAGAGCAATGGAGACAGCCTGCCTTATTATCATCCTAAGAGGACAGTGTTTGATCCTTCAAGAGAAATAATCTTACGAAGAGGGAAATGTTTCTATTAGAAATGTTTCTTAAACCCAACACATTGATATATATATACACACACATATATACATACATATATATAAAATATTCAATATATATGGTATTTGGTATTTCGAGACAGAGTTTCTCTGTAGCTTTGGAACCTGTCCTTCGAACTATTTCTTGTAGACCAGGCTGGCCTTGAACTCAGAGATCTGCCTGCCTCTGTCTCCCGAGTGCTAGGATTAAAGTTGTGTGCCACCACCGTCCGGCATAGCATGATATTTTATAAAGTATCTGCCACAGTTACAATACACACAGGTTTCTATCTTTCATTAGTTTTCTGAAGTGAAGGATACTTTGGTCAGGATGGGAAAACCCGAGCTGGAGAATGCATTTGGTCAATGGATGAATACAACTTTAAATCTGGACTTGCTGAAATACAACTGATGGCTCTCTAGAGAAGCAATTTCCTCAATGACCACAAGATGGAAATAGCACTCCAAGAACACCAATAGAAAAGCCCAACTTTTTCTTCTGTTTCATTTTGAGAGGCCAATGGAGGTCAGGTGGATGGGGAGAGAGTGGGGTGGATTTGGGGAGTCATATTTGGGGGTTGTGTATCTACTTGAGTCTTCTTAGATATGTTTTTTTTTCTATTTTTCTTCCCCCTTTTATTTTTTCCTATTATTCCTTTCTACTCTTCTGATAATTATTGTAGCTGTTTTTTTTTTAAATACCAAAACATGGCATTTATAGATTCATGCTAAGAGACAAACCACACTAAAATTCGAACTCTTCAGTTACTTTCTGTAACCCAGTAGCCCTGCGTGGATAGAGGCTCCCCAGCCTCCTTTGCAAACCTTGCTTCCCTTCCCATAAGGCTAAGGATGGTGGCAAACTCTAAAAGAGTATTTATTTAGTGTCTTGGACAGAAGTCCTCATGATAATAAATGTTCTGAGAGTCATATGCCCACCAGACGACTTTCTGGAAGCAACAGAAGGAATTTTATTGGCAGTGGAAGCAGAGAAGAGAGGAAGGGTGATGAGCGAGAGGAAGGCTCTTGGGTGTGGAATTCGAAAGCATTTAAGAGCACAGCCCGGTTGTGTGCTGATGCCCCTGGGATGAGCACAACCCTAGATCTGCATTGCCTCTACTCAGCAGGTAATTACGGGAACCGTTCATCCTTCGCTTCAGCACCATGGGCAGGAAACAAATTGATAGTGAGGAAGTCTCAAATATATACATTTATTCCACTTCTGTGGTCACTTTTACCCTGGAAATAAATAGTGGTGTTTTTCCACTGCTGAAATAAATGTGGTTTCTCTTGCAATGAATAATTTATTGCCACAGGAGAAAATTGACTTTACGGTTGGTCAAAAAGGCCATCGCTCATATGATTCTTTTTCTATTTCGGAAGTCATCCCCCAACTCACCAAAATAAAGTGGATTATGCTGCCTACTAAGATATAAGGAAACATAAAAGCACAGATTGAACACTTTTCAGACTTATTTCATTTTATTGAGACAAACTAACTGTTTGCTTAGGTTTATGGTTTTCATATTGGCTTACCTGGAGATTTGGCGTATGAGGCATGGAAGCAGGAGAAATTAATAAGTGCGTATGAGGCCAGGAAGAAGTTGGAGATGATGGGGGCGATGACGTTCAGCTCCGCTGCAAGAGAAGCAGAACAGTGCGTGTACCTCTGAGCAGTGAGAGTGTGTGTGTGGGGGGGGGGGGGGGGGGGGGGGGGGCGGGGGGGGGGGGGGGGGGGGGGGGGGGGGGGGGGGGGGGGGGGGGGGGGGGGGGTGGGGGGGGGGGGGGGGGGGGGGGGGTGGACAGCTCTGAAGGCCTGGGAGCTCAACCTTTCCTGGAAATCGGAAACAGCTAAAATCTGTCAAAGTTTAAGGAGTTAGTGATTTTTTCTTTGAGGCTATGTACATACGTTCAGCCAAGGTTTCCATGGGGTGAGACTCAAGACAACCTGCTAATCGGAAAATAGACAATCCAGATCTCTGTCTATACCAGGACTAAGCCCATAATGACCTCTTTGGTGTGTCCAAACTTGCTATATAAACAGTCAAGAGGCTCTGAGGATGGAAATTCATGGGGTTTTAAAGGAGATAATTTAATATGTACAATATGTTAGATCATTTTTAAAGGAGGCAATTTAAGGTATTTTTAACATTTTTAAATTTTTTTTAAAATTTAAACATTTAACATTTTTAAAAAGTTGGTTGTGTGATCATTTAAATCCAGAAGGGGGCTGGTAAGATGGCTCAGCAGGGAAAAGGTATGCTGCCAATTCTGACCCCTGGAGTTAGATCCCAGGGACCCACGTGGAAGGAGAAAACCAGCTCCCCACAAGTTGTCTCCTGACCTACTTGCAAGCTCAGGAGTGTACACTCAGGAGTGTACACACACATACACACACATATGCACACACACACACGTAATAAGACATTTAAATGCAGCGCAGGGCATTTGAAGTCTTAAAGAGTACATTACTGGACTATCTATATAAACCATTTTTTAATTTAATTTCTTAAAAATCTAGCAACTTTAATAGGAGTTATATGTGTCCCCCTTCAACTTCATAGACATCATCTAAGGACATATAAATTGTGGGTTTCACACACAAGAAACTCTTAGCTTTAGCCTTAAGGGAGAACAAGGGTCATGAAACTATCAAAGAAGCCTTCTCAAGACAATGTGCTTACTTCTAGTTGGCCTGGGAAAGAAAACTCAAATTAATAGTCCAGGTAAGGGGTTCTCAAAGCAACTCCATCTAGGAGAGATTTGAGGGGCATGTGAAACGCAGATTCCAAATCCTCAGTGATTCCAACTCATCAGCCCTGGGGTTGGGTCTGCAAAATCTGGGCTTTCAGAGACACCCCAGTGACTCTGAGTGCATGGTCAAGGAGCTACATTTGTAGAAACACTGGTGCAGATGATTCAGCTTGCCAGCTTGGAGCTGTCTGGCTAGTGCATAGAGCAGGGAGGGGAGGTGGCAGGGTCTCATGGTTAGGACATGTTGAATGGGAGGAAGGGCTCAGTTGGGCTTGGCTAGCCGGGCTCCTAGGATTCAGAGAACAGACAGAAGCCCTAGAGCCCCCCTCCCCCACAAATGCCCTCTTCACATAAGGATTTCTCATTTCCTTCTCAGACAAACAGCTTATTATACAAACCAGCTAATTTCTCAAGCCAGCAGCAAAAGCCTGAGTCACAAGAAGACTTTTCGGCTTTCTATAGCACACGAAAACTACACACCGATGAGAATGAATGCCATGGCGATCACAAAAGTGAGGAGGTATCCTCTCAGGGGCTCGTTGTTTTTCCCATAGCCCTTCGCGAAGAACTGCAGTCCTTTGAAGATGTTGTCCTTGCACAGGGCCTAATGGGAAAAAAGGAGAAGACATTTGTCATTTCTGTCTATGCACAGTCATTTTCTCTAGGTGATTCAGAAAAGAAGATTTGGGAAAGATTAAGCGAGGCGCAATGCGAGGCGCAAGTTAACACCGCGGCCCATCATTCTTTATATTATCGGAATCGATCTCGACTATGTGGCAGACACGGCACTTGAGCCAGATGCAAACATTAACAGTTGCAGAAAATGATGGAAAGTGATGGCTGGCGGGAACCGCTATTCCAGCTAGTTTCGCAGGCAGTGGAGACAGCGCCCCCCCGTGGCTGCATTACCTGGAAGACTTTGGGCGCACTGACGAGGGAGGCCAGGGCCGAGGAGAGTGTTGCTGAAAAGATCCCCGCGGTGATGAGGGGGCCAAACCCTGACACCATGCTCATGACCTTGAGAAGAGAGAGGGCTTCCAATAAGGCAGTTTGAAAGTTAATTGTTCTCCAAGACGTTTTTTCCTTCTCCACTTCTCACCCTTATAAACCAATGCTCCCCCACTCTTAAATTTGTAATACTTCTTTCTAAGGTAGAATGACCTCTTCTTTTATCTACCACATACTAGACACCCACCACAAAATCTTTAGAAAACCCTGGAAAAGCTAAGGAAGGGGATGCTTTCAAGGACATTCACAGCACCTCCGTGTGCTCTCTGTAGCTCGGGTGGGAGGAAGCTCTACCCACAGCGGGTAGTGGTGAGCGGTGAGCCCCTGTGAGGACAGCTGGCTCGCCTGCCTTCACTCTTTTTAACTCATCGGTTTTCCTTCTACCAAAGAGTTTCTAAACCTTTGCTTTTCCTGCGCTCTTTAAACCTAACGTTACTGTTTGACATAATCGAGATGCTCGTGATGTCCCCAGAACAGCAATGAGAATAGGACCGGGACCAATATGATTCCTGGGAACAGGTTTTACATGTTTATGAGGATCCTATCAGCGTGAGTCATACTTTGGAATAACGATTTTGGCTGAGATGACGTCTCTGTGCTGGTTGTTAGGATTAGATGGACGCAGACGTCACAGTCTGTTTGCCTCTTCCTCTCTTTACCTATCATGTAGGATGACAATTAGTATGTCTCAAGTTCTGTACTTCCCCCTGCCGCGTGGCCCTCATTTTTGCCCCAGTTTCTCACTCACAATCTCTCCTTGCCGTGTCTCTTGGCCATGTGGGGCGGCTGCCTTAGGTTTCTCTAATCTAACACCTGTACACAAAATGAATCCCGAGGGCCAGCTAGCCTCTGTTTCCCAGCACAGTATCTCACGGAGTTGACTGAAAGCTAGGGAACACCATGGTGCTCCCTCCTGGCGACACAACTCACACTGGTATTTGTCTCCTTACCACAGTGCCTGGAAAACAGATACGGCTACCACCTCACACCTGCGTGGTTCCTTTCTCCCCCACATGTAATTCAAATAAATCAATATGTAATCAACTGATGATCCAGAAGCCTCTCTAGACATGATATTCAGAAAATGCAGACAATAGCAATAAACTCCCTCCTCAAAGTTCACACCTGAAAATTGTTCATCAGCCCGTACTGACAAGGTTCATGCTGACATCTTGAGAAGTCGTAGCCCAGTTCGCAGGCTGCGGACCCGTTGCAGTTCATCCCAGAAACGATGGTGTCGTTTATGCTTCCAGTGGCGTCTCTGACCACACACGCCGCTGAGGAAACAATGTTCGTCTGTCATTTCTTTCCTTCCTAGCTCCTTTTCAGTGCTAGGGACAGCACCAAGGGCTTTGAGCTTGTGATGCAAGCACTAACCTTGAGCTAAAGCCCTGAGCCACGTCCTCTCCCCATTCTGGCTTCGTTCTAAGCCATGCTTGGCTGGCACTGAGTCTGAACGTATATTTCCAGGGCCTGTGCCGACTGTCAATTCTTGAGCTGTGGTCGTTGGAGCTCCCAGCCTCTGAGTCCTTCGAACACCCTGACTTTTACAAGCTGTGGATCACACTGTCATGGGTGGTCCTCACCCCTGAGGCTCTCTTATAGGAGTCCTGGGCGCCGAGATGCTGTCTTATTTTCTGATCTCCTAAAATGTGCGGTGCTTTGGCCTAACATGCACACAGCTCATACCTTGCTCAGTTTCTTACTGACCACATGATTTTTAATAATTCTCATTACCCAAGAGGAGACCGAGGCAAGGCACTAAGGAATCTAATAACCAAGAGAATGAGGCCTCGTTTTTCAACTAATTCTTTGCATACATTTTAGAAAGCAGAGCAATAACCCTACTTTAGATGTAATTTTAAAAGCTTTTTTTTTGAGATTATAATGTAATTATATAATTTCTCCCCTTCTCTGTCCTTCCCCCAAACCTTCTCACATATCCACCTGTCTTGTTCTTTCAAACTCATGGCCTCTTTTTTTTTTTTTGTTGTTTAATTGGTGTGTGTGTGTGTGTGTGTGTGTGTGTGTGCTTCTAAACACATGAATCGTGTACTTAGTCTGTATGCTGTTTGCCTGTATGTTTTCAGAGCTGGCCTTCAATCATGAATTGCTGTGCTTTCCCCTGGGGAAGACTGTCTCTTCTGCTCTCAGCATTCCTTACTTCCCTATAGTTCTCGGTGTGAGGCTGAGATTTCCTGGGCTTTCCCGCACCCTGTCCATGCTAGCATGTCTATCGGTGTCCTCCTTGTTCAGGTCAAATATATATCATTTTAATTGCTTTAATAATAAAGATAGCACCTCCCAGTAAGACATTTGCATAGTTTCTGCCTATGTGAGCACTAGTTAAGACAGAATAAAAAAAATATTAGGCTTCATCCCAAACAGAAATATAGACAAGGCTTTGGAAATCCATGAAGGAAGGAAAGGAAAAAATGTTGAACAGGGATGTCCCGCTCCATCAGGCTAGCAGAGCCTCACCTGTGCAGTTCCCTGGCTGGGTCATGGAATTCAGAAGCCACTTCCCAAAGATAAGCTAGGTGAGGGTCAGGCAATTCCACCCCCAGCACAAGTCAAAGTCCTCATGAGCTTAAATCCAGTTGTAATATTTGGAGAGGCGGTGATCTCTCCAGCTGAAGAGGCAACATTGGTGAGAGAGATCCTGTTTAGTCAATGGGACTCAGGGTAGTGGGGGTTGGGAGGCATCTTGGGGATCCTCCCTTGGGTCTGTCATAACACTTTGGTGAAGAAGAACCAGGGTGGTGGTTGTGGGGAGCGGAGAGCTGGACATGGATGTGCTGAAAGGTACAGGCGGCCAGGGAGAGATCTCATCAAGCCTGGCATGTGCTGTCTCTGAGCCTGAAGCTTACAGGTAGATGAAATTCTAGAGATGACTGTGGTCCACTGTTCTACAGCCCAAGAACTCAGAAATTCTAGGGGTGCAACCTCCAGTGGGTTATTAACACTTGGTAGGCCAAGTCAGGCCCTCCACGTGTACCCATCTTGGTGCTGTGGTAGCTCCCACATTCCCACAGCCTTCCTCTGGAACAGGCACATCAGGTCTATGACCTGGGAGTCTCAGGAAAATGAGAGACCCTGTCCAGCTCACAAAGGGACACGGAGAGGCCAGCAGAGGCCCCTGGTGCCCTACGGAGGAGACCAGCCGCAGTGCAGTGAGCTCTGGCAGGCACCGTGCGTTTGCCCAGTACAGACCAGGCAGTGGTATAAACCAGAGGAGAGATGAGAGCCCACATTCAGCTGACTGCCCTCCCCCACTGCTTGTAACCAGAGCTTCAGCTCTGAAGACCCAGACAGGAGCCATTCTGACATCATTCTCCCCTATTCTTTCTGTCCCACATACTTAGCAGGCTCTTCACTGTATTATATCTTTTGACACCTTTTAGTATTTGTACTGATTTTTCTTCATACATTAATCTTATTTTATGCATTTTTAATCCTCACTTTGAGGCAATTTTTTTCCCTTCTTTGTTTCTTTTCTGGCCCTTCTCTCTCCCTCCCCTACCCCTGCCACCTCTCTACATTTTATCGTATTTTGAATTTTCTTTATTGGTTCCTTTCTTTTAAAAAAGGTTTATATTTTCAATCATGTGTCTGTGTATGTCCATGTGGGGGTATGTACTTATGAGTGTGGGTGCTCACTGCGGCCACAGGCATTGGATCTCCTGGAGCTGGAGTTACAGGTTGTTCTGAGCCACCAAACGTGGGTGCTGGGAACGGAACCTGGGTCCTCTGCAAGGGTAGCATGTGCTCTTAATACCTACCTAGAATCTCTCCTGCCCAGACTTTTTTTTTAATATTAATACACTATGGTTTTTAAATTTTTATCCTCTTTATTATATTTATTCAAATTTGTTTTTGACCTTTTTCATAATCGGGAAATATTTATTCCTTTAACCTTTTTCTATTTTCCTTTCTGCTATTAATACACTATGGTTTTTAAATTTTTATCCTCTTTATTATATTTATTCAAATTTGTTTTTGACCTTTTTCATAATCGGGAAATATTTATTCCTTTAACCTTTTTCTATTTTCCTTTCTGCTCTTTTCTCCACTCCCTTCTTTTCCTCTTAGCTGTCACACCTCACTTCTGTATTTTTCTTATCTTTCTCCTCCTCTTCCTGTATCTCATTTATTTCTCACTTTACTTATATCCGAGATAATATCATTCTCAGCCCACAGTCACTGGTGATGTATTAGTGGCTGTAACTGATCTGTGTCTCGTGTGCTTTGATGTTATTGCGGGAACAGAGTTTTGTTCCCTCTTTGATTGGTGGCGGGGACTGAGACTGAAAGAGTAAGTAACCAAATAAGAAAGTCCTCCCCCTCAAAAAAAAATCCAGACATCTAAACCAAGAGATGCACTAACCACAACAAACATAAGAAACTTCAAAAAGTCCACAGTATGACTCTTACAAGAGATTGTAACTCCATGAATGCGAAACCCAAAGATACAGAGATATGTAAAATGCAACGTGACGATTTCAGTTTTCTGGTAAAAATGATTAACAACCTAAAAGAAGATACAAACAAACAGATGAATTTGATCCAGGCCATAGAGAGGAGCATCAACAACTAAGAAAAAAAAAAAAGTCAGCAAAATGAAGATCAGCAATACAGGCCAAAAAGTTGACAACACAGAAAACTCAGCAAGGAAACAAAGATTTTTGAAAAGCAAAACAAAACAAAACAAAAACAAAACCCAGAAGCATTGAAAATGAAAAACTCACTGAATCAAATAAAAAGCACAGCAGGACCGGTCACCAAGAAACCTGACAAGCAGAAGGAAGAATGTCAGAGACGGAGGATGGGGGCGATGGAGCATGGCGCCCAGATATCAGCACAGGAAATGCCAGTGGCAAACAAGCATCTAAGCACTCTGAGACTCTAAAGCACAGAATCCTCAACACAGAAGAAAGAGGCCAGCACTGAATACATCAAGAATCTACTGAATTATACCAGAAATTCATTCTCCAAATCAGGGAAAGACACCAATATCCAAGCACCGGAAGTATTGAGAATTCCAAACAGACACGACGAGAGAAGAAGCTTTGTGATGTAAAAATGTCAAAAATACGGAGAAAAGAAAACCATCTTAAAAGCTGTAGGGAGAAAATGGCAACTCATCTACAAAGGCAAAAACAGCAGAATGGCACCAGGCATCTCACAGGCCACCCTCAAAGCCAAGAACGCTTGGAATGAGATATACAAGTACCCAAAGCAAATAACTGTCAGCCACGATGGCTAGATACAGCAAAATTACCTTTTAGAATTGATGGAGAAATAAGGGCCCCTAAGGCAGGTACATACTATGGCAATGATGTGTGCCAAGCTCACACTGCAGAAGATGCTTAAAGGGATATCATACAAAAAAGGGAAGGGGTAATGATCTAATTATACTTTAATATAAAAAATAAACTAAATTTAGATAAAAATAAAGGACAACATACATTGGTGGGGATATGGGGAAATATGGTTATTATTGATGGGAATGTAAACTTGTGTAGCTCCTTTGGAAACCAGTATGAATATTCCCTAAGAAACTGAATATAGAGTTAATGTAAGACCCAGATATACTCTTGACTTTATACACAAAAAGTCACTGATCTGAAGATGTCTGCATTGTACTTTCATTGCAACAACGGCTCCCAAAGACACAAACTATTAAGTACCAAAAATTGCCGCTGTAAAGACAAAACAAGACTTTCTACTTACGTAGGCTCCATTGGCAGCCATTACACACACACACACACACACACACACACACACACACACACACAACCCTGGGCTCCCTGACATTCTGACATCAGGGATGTTTTCCTTACCTACACAGATAGCAACACCTATGTAGGCAACAGTGGTGATGAAAATGGCCAGCATGGTCCCTCTGGGGATGGCATCCTGGGGGTCCTGTGAAAACATGCAGAGGGGAAAATATTAAACCATGCTTCCTAAGGCGAGCTCTAAAGAAACTGCCTAGCAATGGGGAGGTGAAGAGTCTCCGGGCGGAGTCTCCGGAGTGAACGATGGGCTATTCAACGTGGTGCTGCGTATGAACTCCCAACGCTTGCCCCAGTCTCTAGCCGATGGGGTCCCAGAGCTGAAAGGAGAAGTGGACACAGGCCTGCCTCCCTAACCCAGAAGCTGTTCCCAATTGAAAACCATGTGCAAATGAGAAATTGGCTTTCTCCAAGGGAGTCTCCCTGGGGAAACAAACCACTCGTAAGGGTAGGCTCCATGTCAACAGAAAACAAGCTCAAGGCATCGTTGGAGGGTCTTTGTCTCATGATAAGTCAGGCTTTTCCCCCCCTTACATCTTTGGTTCTTTTTCTTGTTTGGTTATTTTTGGCCTTTATTTGTTTGCTTTTCTTTTATCTTATTGTGTTATACGTCATTTTATTATTGTGTCTTAGGTGCCTGTTTGTTTTCTAAGGAGAGACAGACAAGGGAGTGGATCTGGTGGGGAGGAACTGGGAGGAGCAGAGGATGGGAAACTGTAATCAGAACCTACTGCATGAAAAAAAGTCTCTTTTCATTTTCAAAAAAAAAAAGGAAAAGAGAAAAGTGGTTCTATTTTTAATAAACAAAAACCCAACTGTTAAAACAATAAAAAAAATTTAAAAAAAAAAGACCAAACAAGCCAAACCTCAGTGCTGAAGAGAGAAGTTACAGAAATGAACAGCTAGTTCTCTCTCCATGTGAATTGTATGTAGAAGCATCAGACACAAACAAAGCTGGCATGTTGACAGTATCTGGGCACATGTTTTTTATCCTGAGTTTAGGCTTGTTTTTAATTAAAACAAACAAACAAACAAAAACAAAACCACCGATCTGACTGAGCAAAAAGGATCATCTAGTAAGTTCTCCAGTCTCTCTAAAGTCTTCATTTCCTCAAGTAAGCTCGGTAAAGAGGTAAGGTCAGCCCTGTACCAGAAAATGGCCTTTTCTCTTGCTTACGAATGTATATGCACACGCCGAATTGAGTCCAGATGATACTTAGTTCACCATGTTATACCTGGTTTTGAAAGGAACTGCTAAATTATATCAAACTGACTTCCAAGCAGCACATTGGATTATATTTAATTCAATGTAAGAAATTATTAAACAGATAATTTGAGGCGTGCTTTTCTTATGTAGGCAGTTGTCTGGCATTCAGAAAGAGTCAATAAATACTGAGCAGAGAAAAGTACAATTCCAGTAGGCACTGGTCTCCCAGCTGGAGGACACAAGTCTCATCAATACACATGAGAAATCAATGCAGGTAAATGAAGATTAAGGACTTGTTTTTTTCTAAACCTAAATATGATGATCAAGTCCATTGAGAAGGTCACACTTGGTGACTGCAGACACAACCCAACCTCTGGAGATCATGTCTTAGCCAAGCAAACACACACCACACCTGGGTGTAACCAGCTCTGTGCAGCCACTAATCCCTATGCTCGAATTCGTCCAGGAACATCCGCATATTGGGGTTTTGCTCGTACAGTTGTACCCAGCCTCTTCCTTCCATACTACTGACGCCACAGCAAATGTACAGGTGTGTGCAATACAGCAGCTCCGGGGAGGGGGACGAGAGCAGTGGGGCTGAAATGGGCCCTTCTTAATCGAATTACTGGGTTTTGTTTGTTTTTTTACCTTTTAGCTATTGCTGAAGAACTTATTGGGAACTGGGAGGTGGCTCAGTAAAGTGTCTGCTGCGAAAGCATGAGGGTCTGAGTTCAATTCCTAAAATCCATGTTTAGAAAAGAAAAATGTGGGACACACTTATGATCCCAGCACTGGGGAGGTGAGGCAGGTGGAGGCCTGGAGTTCACTGGGTAGCCACTCTGGCCTCATTGATGACTCGTTTCCAGTGAGAGACTTTCACCAAACCAAACCAAACCAAACCAAACCAAACCAAGTGTCCTGAGGAATGGCCTGATTTTGACCTCTGGCCTTCAGAAGCACACACACACACACACACACACAAACGCATGCGCGCGCACACACACCTCCCAAGGTGAACACAAGCAGGCACACACCTCACAAAAATTTCATGGGATCTGGCTTAAGTTGTAACCATCTAACTGGAGCGTGATGGAATAGGAGGTAGAAGGTAGAAGGCAGCCTGTGACACAGACCTGAAGACAGCGCTCCCCTGCAGCTGCCCACTGCAAGCTCTTAAGCTGCCGAGGCCACGTGACATGAGGGTCAACTTGACGCTAAGGCACTAATGGGTAGCGTATGATGTCAGCGTATTGATGTGTGATCCTGTATAAAATGGAATTGTTCGGTTCTGCTCCCGACAGAGGGAGCTCGGCAATTTGACACATTCTTAAGTTTCCCCCCTCCTCCAGAATTAACCCCAAATCCAAGCTGTTTCTCCTTCCTGTCAGTAAAAGTGACCCCCTAGCCAGGACAGAATATAAGTCATCAATTAGGTTTCCACTTTTTGGGGGTCTAACAACCACTTCCTAATTTTTGGCATCTCAGAAATATTTCTCAGATCTTCTTCCAGATCCCAATTTTCAGGACAGTTCTTGCCATGTTATTGCTGTTCCATACAGACCGCTCAGGATGGGATCCGCATCCGTTATGCTGTCCTGGTGGTTCTTCCCTGCAGTGCGGAGGCCATCCTGAGAAGGATGCTGAGGCTGGAAGCTGAGTTCTCATCTGCATCTCCCTACATTCTATAAACAACACTTCCTAAAGCGAACTGACTCAACTATGGTTAATATTATTATAATTATCTTGGGTTTCATCCTCAGAGAGAAATAAAATTATGGATACAGCAATTTCCTTGCCGTTTTCCAGAATATTTCATCTTTGGGAGCTAACATGTCTGACCACTCTGGCTTTTAACTATGTTCTGACATCCTAGACAATTTCTCTTTTCGCTTCCCTTTTTCCTGGGCCTAAGGGCTGTTGGTTTCCCCATCCACTAAGCAGTTTCTCTGTCTCTCTGTCTCTGTCTCCCTGTCTCTGTCTCTCTCTCTTTCTCCTCCCTCCCCCCTTTTCTACAATAATGATCTGGGTGCCCACACTCCCCTGAGTGCTTCCTTAGCTTCCTTGCCTTCCTCTTGCACCTACCTGGGTGAGTTCGCCCATGCAGCAGCTTCTAGTCCTGTCTTCCTTCCTAGAGCTCCAGACTCCCTCTGCCTCCCAGACAACTTGCCATGTCCTACTTCTGTTTCAACCCCATTAGCTGAGCCTGAGCCTCCTCTTCCTCATCTACTATGCTGTGAAATCGATTCAGTGAGGCGAAACCAGTGCTAAAGACCAGAATCGGATAGAACTGATGTAGACACATCAAAAGGCATTGCTTGCATTTAGCTGTGACCTATGATGCTTTCTTACTGTGGTTTAGTAAAAGAATTCTTTCCATTGCTTCTAGCTCTAACAAAGGCAGAGCTTTAACCTCTGTCTCCTGCCAGGCCTTCGTTCAGACATTAAGTAAGAGGAATTGACTAAGCACCTTGTTTTTAAGGAGTCTAAAGAAAGCACATTATTTTCCAATTTAAAAACCTGCCTGTAGCTTCCGGAAGCTTAAATCAGTGACCTCTGATATTTTCCTACTTAGTGATAAAACAGGAGTTCGTAACGAGATCTCATTCAGCGAGGAGAGGAGCTGAAGCAGCTGGCGCAGGTTTGTGACCTTTTGAGCTTTGGCATGACCTTTCCCTGCTGTTGTCTGCTCAAGAATTTACCTTGGCAGTGTGGTCACTAGCATAACAAATCTAAGTACTCAGCTCAGTCAGCGTCTATTCCAACCACGCTTTCTCTGAAGATCAAGGCCAAGTTGCCACGTCCTCAGAGTTTCATGCCCCATAGTGAGCATCTGCAGCCACTTCCTTTCCTGTGAACCTTGTGAGGCTCTTCAGCCTCCTCAGTTTTTCCTCCGTTTAACCTGTAAGAGACTCCCTGCTGTCCTCAGGTTTCTCATGCCAGACTCTGCTTGCTTCCTTGGCCAGACTTACCTTGTTCCTCTCCAAAAGCCAACTTCTAGCCTTTGCTTCCCAAGTTAACTCTGATCAGCCCAACAACTATTTGTTCAGTATTTTTATTTCCCCACCCATTGACCCCGGCATGTTTTTTATTTAATACTTATCTCCCGATGAGTTTTGCAAATACTCACCTCTGATGTTGATTATGAATGCATTGAGATAAGATTTGCATCTTCTTTTTGTGTTTGTGAGGTAAAACCGTTGTCTGTCTTATGAAGGAGACTTTTATTGTCCTCTAATACCTTCTTGTACTATTGGAATGCCTCAGCCTTTATTGGGGTATATGGCTGCCCTACTCCGGTAAGCATTTCATAGAGTCCTTTGAAGCTAGGTAAGGACATGAGCCAAAATCCAGACCAATGGAATGTCAACAGAAAGAGGTAGAGCATGAACCAGGAAGTGATTAATCACCCAGGGCCTTGAAGATAAGGATGAGCCCCACCCAAGGTAGACTTGAAAGAGGAGAGGTTTCTCTGAGTCCCTGGGCTGTCTTTGGAGGTGGATGTTCTAATTTTGTTGGATGGCCTATGCATGTTCAGAAGCACAAAGTCTGATCTTGTTTTGGCCATGATCCTTCTTACAATACTGAAATCCCATCCATAGTTAAGTCAATGATCCCCATGGCAGTTGATGGGGAATGCTGTGAACTGAGGACCAAGTGGTCACATGACTGTTTGCTATTATGGATTTGGTTTTGTTTTTCCGCAAATGTCTTGTATTCCTAGTCATGATGATTTTTAAAGGGAAAGGGTGATTCTGAAAGTAAGTCAATCTATTTTATTGAAAAATAACTTCTCATGAGTATACTCTGCCTTTGGATGTCACTGAATGTGGGTTTTGGAATTATACTGTATTGTCAAGAGCTTAGATTTAAAATTAAAGGGGGGGGGGGAGAGAGAGAGAGAGAGAGAGAGAGAGAGAGAGAGAGAGAGAGAGAGAGAGAATATCAAAGAAATCATCCAGAAACCTTCATTCTTGTGTCTCTGGGATCTAAGTCATATTGAGTCTGCACAGCTTCTCATGCTGCCAACAACTGCTCTCCCACCACCAAGGCTACAAAGCAGAGGAAACTGCATACCTCCAGGTCTCCAGAGATGTTGGCACCAGCAAGGATCCCGGTGGCAGCGGGGAAAAAGATGGCAAAGACAGAGAAGAAGCCTTCACCCTTCGTGAAGCTTGGCCCAAAGTTTTCTGCAAATATGGATGCTGAAATGCAAGCGAGAGGAGCATCACCTTGCTGGGTTTTGCACACTGTAGAAGCTTACGTTCTTGACTTCTGTGTTTCTAAATGAAAATGGATCTTTAGAATGGGAGCAGAGTGAACCTGAAACTGTTGGTTACTCTTCTCCGAGCACCAAGGTGCCTATCATTTTACATACACGTTTAGGTCTTAGATCTCTCGACAGAGCTCTGGGAAGGTCATTAGAGACCAAGCTTGCTTGTCTTCTTTGAATATAGAAGAAATGGGAAAAAGCAATAAGGAATTCTTGCAGAAGGAAAAATTAGTCTCTTTCATTGGGGGTCTCACTGGGTATACAAGCCAAACAGTAACTGGTCAATACAAAAACAAACTCAAGGGTATTTTTGCAGACTTTTGTCTCATATTGCTTTATTTGAACATTTTCTCTTTCTTTTTCATCTTGCAGTTCTTTTGCTTATCTATTACGGGTTTCTGATTTTGTGCTTTATGGGTTTTGTTTTTGTGTGAGTTTATGTTTTTTGTTCTTTGTTTTTACTTTTTTATTTTGTTTGTTTATTTATCTGTTTTCTAAGGAGAGTAAGAAAGAAAAGGCATGGAGTTGGGTGGGTGGGGAGATGGGGAGGATTAAGGAGGAGTTGTGGGGGAGAAAAACTATGATCAGAATATATTGTATAAAATTTTTTAATTAAAAAATATAAAAACAGGGCTGGAGAGATGGCTCAGAGGTTAAGAGCGTTGCCTGCTCTTCCGAAGGTCCTGAGTTCAATTCCCAGCAACCACAAGGTGGCTCACAACCATCTGTAAAGAGGTCTGGCGCCCTCTTCTGGCCTTCAGGCATACAGACAGGATATTGTATACATAATAAATAAATAAACAAACAAACAAATAAATAAATAAATATTTTTTAAAAATATATAAAAACAGATAAATATTGCCAAGAATTTTTTTTGCAGAAACATGTTAGTAACCTCCAAATATAGAACATATGTTCACATGCCCCCCTCATGACCACGTTCTCACACATATGTATCTTTAAACAGCTTTTTCAGGCCTTTGACAAGCCTTAAGAGACCCATTTGAGGCGGGCTGCATAGTAGACTTGTTTCTACTGTTCTGCTCTCTTTGTTCTTCCTCTCAGAGTTTGGATCTTAGGTCCTTATACCAAATTTTCTAAGAATAAGAATATGGTGAGTTGCTTTGTTCTTAGAGCAATACTGTCCTGTCCTGTTCTGTAGGCTGTCACCAAATCACTTAAATGAAAAGAAAGCCTTCTAGAGAAAAGGCAGAAAGAAAGAGAAAGAGAAAGAAACCAAACAATGAAAGGAATCTGGGATGAGAAAGGGGGGGGAGAGTTGAAAACATCAGAAGATATAAAGTAGGGGAAAAGGTAGAAAAGAAAGAACAGTAAAACCCAAAGCAAATGAAAGAACCACAATAAAGACCTGGTTTTAAAAATGATGAGGGGGTCACAGGTAATGATAACCGAATATGTAATTGAGCAATTGATATTTTTTAGAGCCTTAGCTGTGTATTGAGTAATCTAGGGTAGAAAATAAGAAGGTAGAAGAAGAAGAACTGGGAGAGAAAAGTCAAATTTGTACACTGTGATGTTACCACAAGGAGATACACAAGTAATTCACCCATCATTTCTTTCAAGTGTGTGTTTAGCTTTGTATGTATGTATGTATGTATGTATCTATACTGTTTGCCTGCCTGGTGCCTACAGAGGCCAGAAGAGGGTGCTGGATCCCCTGGAACTACATGTACAGACGCTTATGAGCTATTGGGGAGGGCTGAGCAGTCTTCTAACTCAGCTTGCAAGGTTGACAGTGACCGCAGCAGGTTATGTCCCAGCAGGGCTGGGTGCTACAGAGTCTCCCAGGAAGACAGAGGACTTGATTTGACGCTACTGTTCAGCAGAGGCTGATTATCTTTCCCAGCTCCCGGTTCTCATTCCCTACATGTAGCTTCTATTCCTATTGTCTAGCCATCTAGTGATAGCCCAGTATTCAAGGATTTACAAGAGACCTTCTCATCTTCAACCGAAAAAGACTGACTTCTCAAATTTGCTTTTAAATTTTAAGTACCCTCCATATCTACTTTTTAAAGTTTCCTCAGGAAGTTGTCATCATTAATTTAATGGGAAAATCTGAGATTCAAACAGGATTTGTATAACCCGCTCAGCTGATACGCAAGTGTTGAAACCCCACCATGGGTCCCCTGAATCCAACTTCAGGCCTTTCCTAGGCTACATTGGAATCCTCGTGGCTGGGGATGGGTGAGAGAGGTAGCAATGGGGAGAACAGCGTAGGCCCATTAACTGAGAAGGGACTGATTGGCCCCACTTACCTTGGTAGTTGAAGAAGCCTCTAGATTTCTTCTCGTTGTTGGATGGAATGACGGTTCCAATGAAGAAGTTTGCAATGGCAATGAGAAGAATAACCAGGAGAATCACCTGGGCCTGTGACACCACAGGAAAGGGACCGAGTTAGAAGCAACAACAATGTAAACTAGCTTCACATCTGGACGCTCTCGCTGCACAGTTGAAGCTTAATATATTGCCCTCTTCCCTGTTCAGGTCTTGAGGATGAGACCTGGATTTCCAGTATGCAGCGCTGCTGGTCTGGACAGGAGCTGTACATGAAGACGTGTCAACCTTGCTGGCTGTGTCACCACATTGGCAGCAAGCAAGGTAAAACGTGGCCCTATGACCTGACTCATATGATCAAGTCTTGACCAGACTTGGTATTGTTGCGGAATATTGGTTTATACTGTGTGCCAATGTGTCCCCGTGATTGGTTTAATAAAGAACCGAATGGCTAATAGGTAGGCAGGAGAGAATAGGTGGGACTTCTGGGCAGAGAGAGGAACTCGGGATGAATCTCGGCACACGAGGGATGCCAGCGAGACACTGAAGAAGTCAGGCATACGGTGCAGAGGAGAAATAACCGAGGTCTGAGGCAGAATGCACATAAATAAAACAGGTTAATTTAAGTTATAAGAGCTAGTGAGGAAAAAGCCCAAGTTAAGGCCAAGCTTTCATAAGTAACAACAAGTCTCAGTGCCATTGTGTGTGAGCTGGTGGCCCAAAGGAAAGTTTGACTACAGGTACTTAGTGGTACGATGGCCACCTTGCATGTACTCGTGCCTTTTGCTATAATGAAGGAACGACAGCTGTTCTTTGTGAATATGGTGTTCCTTCTGTTGTGACTAAGTCAGGGCCTGGCCAGCACTTGTTACAGTGTTATTTAGAGACACCCACCTTCGCTTCCCACTCCATCCCAGCTACTGAGATTCCTAGGAGAATCACCACGGTGATGGAGCCAATTATCCGGATGTCATTGGTCGGATCCACCATCATTGAATCACTCTCCTGGGGGGAGGGAATCACTCAAATGATTAGAGATAGTTCTTTGCACTCAGTATTTTTTTTTTAATAATATTCAACATGAAGAAAGGATACTGTACACAAATGCCTGGGGGCATATAGGATATTAAGAAAATGAAGTATTTGTAAGTTCCAGAAGACAAAATAGAAAAAAATTCTAATTTTACTTTATCTGTGATGTAGGCCTTTGACAGGTAAGGCTAGGGCCTAAAAAGGCTAGAAACTCCTTCTAGCCACAGATGCGGGAGATAATGTAGCACTGAGCAGAAGTCTGTATGGCCACACCTTTTGTGTGGTACTTCAGCAGAAGGACTGGCTACTTTCACGTGCCAAGGGGAATTTTAGAAGAATAAAAATGGGTGATTTCCAATATGAATATTGGAAAATAAGCATTGCTCAACTTAATAACAGAGAACACAAACTCAGTAACACATCTCTTGAAGAGAGTAGACTGTAAGAATACACACTATGTTCCTTGATTCGTACAATTTCTACGTAGACATACTTTCACCAGTAGAGCATCTAAGGTGAGACGGTGAGAGTTCCCACACTACACAGGCTTAAAGACCTTGTTCCCAGAGCACCTGGGTTGGGCCCTTAGCTAAGAGAGGCCTCATTTTTCTGCAGCAAGTTGAGCCCATGATTGAACTTCCTTCATCTTTGGAAACCTTGTGAGCATCAGCGGTGTGCCTACAGGAAATGGTGCCTGTCGTCTACCTGAAGCTTTGTATTTTACACACTTTCCATTCACATCCTTCCCATCTGATATGCACGGAACTCCTGGGGAATGCATGAAGCAGTAACTTAGCTCCTCGTTCCGCTTTAGAAAATAAAGAAGCCTCAGATGTAGAGGAGACTGGCCTAAAGTCTCCCAGGTGCTAAGGGGAGAGCCGAAGTCAAAGCCAGACCTTCTGACCTTATTATGTTTGGGGTTCCTGCCCTGATCCTGAACTCCCCTTCTTTTATCTTGACCTGAGACTATCCCCTAGGGCCCTGTGAAGAAAAGCTGAGCTACTTTGTTTGTCTGTACAAAGAAGAGCTTTAATTACCTTAAGGAGATCTACCACAGTCTCTGCGAACCCCACCACATACATGGCGACAGCCACTGCATTGGCGAAAGCAAAGATCAAGCCTATAGACCCTCCGAACTCGGGCCCTAAGCTCCGGGAAATCAGGTAGTAGGCTCCTCCTGCAACAAGAAAGCAGCGTGTGTCACCTGGAGAGGAAGCCGAGCTCTCCAGTCCCTATGGTTAATCTCCAGCTGTTAATCATCCCACGAAGAGTATTACAGATTCCTAGGCATGCTATAAATCCTGGGTCGTCATAATGAGGCCCTGCAGGCGTACCTGCCTCATAAGCTGTACGGAGTCTGCAAAGTACGTGCCAGTAAAATTCAATCTGTTGAGACTTCCAAGTTAGAATCCTGATCTAAGTTAATAAATAATAGCAACAAGCTTTACCCAAATGCTTTGTCTTTTTAAAAAATTGATTTAGAGTACCCAAATGAAGAGTGTGACTCAAGTACAATTTTAAATTCAAAATTTCCAGAAACTGACAGACCAGGGTAGAAAATGAGATGGCAAGACTTGTTCTTTTCTGGTGCTGTGGCACAAGCCCGTTATCCTGGCCCTGGGAGGCAGAGGCAGGAGAGTTAGGTCTCCAAGGTCATCCTCAGTTATAGTAAACTGAGGACTAGCCTGGGCTACATAAAACACTGGCTCAAAAGAACAAAGTGGTTGAGCCTTTTTTATTTTTATTTTATTTTATTTTCTGGCTTCCATTCTTTTGTATAAACTTTCCTGGTAGCTAATCTGTAAAATGAGCATCTCTATCAGGGTGTGTGTTACCCACTCTGGAAAGCAGGCTTGTTTTCCGGGTTTAGCCTAATGACGCGTCAATTCCCACAATAAGGCTGTGGGATGGAAAGAAGGGCAGGGGGAGTGCTGGGAACCAATGCTCTTTCCTGAACACTGAAGAACAGCTTTGTGATTGGCCACCCACTTCCGTGACATGAAAACCGAAGGGGTTCGCTTCACAGCTTAGGGCCAGTGACTGACACAAAAAGGGACTAATAAGGGAACTAAACATTGTAATGACCTCTTAGGTGGAGCTGGTCATGGGCGTTTTGCGAAGTCAGCATGGGACAAGAAAACTCAGAACAAACTCCCTTTTGTGGAGGAGAAACTGTGCTCAGTGTGGGTAAGTTCTCAAAATGGAACATAGAGCAAATCCCCTGGAATTTTAAAACTTAACTTTGCTCGACAAATTGGCTGGGCAGTTACATGGGCATAACAGTAAAAACAAGAGACAGATAGGGGCTGGAGAATTGGCTCAGTGGTTAGGAGCACTTGTTGCCCTTGCAGAGGACCCAGGTTCAGTTCTCAGCACCCATGTGGCGGCTCAAGACCATATATAATTTTAGGTCCAGTTGTTCCGATGCCCTCTTCTGACTGCCTCAGGCACCAAGTACACAGGGTACATGCACATAGATGCAGGCAAAATACTCATGCACATAAAATAAGATAAATCTTTAAAAAGCAATGAATAAAACATAAGTTGAGAGAAAAGGGGTTCTGTGGCTAGGGTTGTTTTAGAAAGCCTTGCTTGGAGCAGGGGTAAGAAGGGGTGGTACTTGTGCCTGCAACCAAGGGATTTGGAAGGCTAAGATAAGTGGATTGTCGTGGACTTAAAGCCAACCTGGCCCTGCAGAGTAAAACTTTGTCTCAAAACACCAAAATCACGCTAGAGGTGGCTCAGTGGCTGAGAGTGTGTACTGTTTTAGCAGAGGACTTGAGTGCCCAGAATCCAAGTAGTTCACACCCACCTGTAACTCTACTGCCGTCTTCTGGGTTCTAGCTCCCATACTGATGTGAACATACCCCCCTCCACACACACACACACACACACACACACACACACACACATGCACGCGCGCACACACACACACACACAATTAAAGAGAAATAAATAAATAAATCTTAAAAATACAAAAACAACCCCTCCCCACAGAACCCATCACTGACAACAAAAAGTCCTAAGCAGGGAGACATGGATAAAACAGCCAAGGCAAAAATTAGTGAACCCGATGAACAGGGCGAGGGCAATCAGGACAGGGAAAAACTTCATCTACGTTGTTTTCTACCCCAGCCTGCCTGCTCCCGAAAACCTGACAGTAACTCATTGTTTCATTTATTTATTTTTAAACGTTCTTTTTGGTGATGTTTTGTGATAGAAGCAGAGTATTTGGGGAGAACATGACGGCTGGGGCAGGAGTACTGTCTGTGTGAGAATCACCACTGTCAGGCGGGATGTTGGGGAACACCCAGGCTGCGGGGACCCAGGAGGGAGCAGTATAGCTCACCCTGGTGCTGAGCACCCATTGAGATTCACCACAGGAAATGGATCAAAGGAGCCCTTTCTCCAGATCTCTTCTTTTTCAGTTGAGAAGAATTTTACCTTGTTGTTTGGATTTTGCTTTATTTTGTTTTCTTTCAAGTCTTAGGGACCAGTTAGCAACATAAAATCTACATGCTCAGTTAGTAGACAACTCTAGACAGGATGTGTTTATAATCACAAGTAAATCAGGTGGCTTACCTCCTCGAACTACTCCGTTTGTGCAAATAGCAGACATAGAAATACCTGTGAGTGTTGTCACCACTACGCTCAGGCCGATGATGATGACTCCCAGACCTGCAAAACCCCCAACAAAGGTGTTTGACTCAGTAGGGAGAGAGATCACCCCTTCCTTCAGGAAGTGCCAGTCACAGAAGATCCTTCTCACTGCAGAAACCTGAAACGCTCTAACATAATGGTTCCATTCAGCGGCCTTGTGGGGGACGCCTGAAATGTACTGTGTTTAAAACTGCTGCCATTTTTAAGAGTCATTTCCTGTGAACGACCAGCAAGACTGTACAGACTGACCTGGAAAAGAAGAGCTTTCCCCAAGGACTCCGCGCACCTGAGGCAGGACCTGTAATGTGCCAGGATTCTGTTAGCCGGGGCCTGGGTGGACTTGAACTACACTCACCGCGCTGCTGTCCGCATTCGGCTCCTCGACACTTCCCTGTGCCCATCAGCAACCAAGTATATAGAAACGTGTGCCTACCCGTAACATGTGATGAGGGTGTTAGGGATCTTAGAGATTTTACCTCCACGAACAAACCCGTTGGTTGCTATTGCAGAAGTTGACAACCCAGTGATAGAGGTTACCATGGTGGAAAGAAGAATTATAAGAACTCCAAGACCTGTCAGCAATGAAAGACAGAAGATATTACATTTTATGCTTCTTCCTTGGAGTCCCTACTCCTGCAACATCTACTGCCTCTTAATTGAGCTTTTCTGGTCCATGCCTTGGGCCCCAGTGGGGTTTCTTTGTACAAAGGTAGGGTTGCTATGCCTGGCATAAAGATCAAGTCCAAGAAGCACTCATTATGATGAAGAATGGCATCCAGTGGTCAACACAGTCTAACGTACAGTCCTGCAGAGGAAAAGCCGACTCCTCTCGGTGTCCTGGGAGAGAAGCTACCCCAGCCGCGAAAGAGGAAACATGACATTTGACCTTCTCTCTTGTTTGAGAGGAACCTGAATGGGAAAGTTTGGGATTTGACAAAGGTTAAATCCTTCTTCATTTTTCTTGCACCCTTTGCCTGGGGGAGAAAAGGAAGCAACTCACATTACCTTCGAAAACACCCCAGAAAGGTCAGCGGTGAGCTATTGGAGCCTGCGTCACCTTTACCTTATGCCTGATGAATTGGCTCACAACCTTAATTACCTCCTCTGACATATCCATTTGTGGCGATGGCAGAGGTGGATAAACCAGTGATGGCTGTCACTGTCACGGCTAAGCCGATGATAATCACACCGAGACCTCGGTTGAGAGAGGAAAAATACGGGCGATTAAATGGTGGAACAGCTCATGGGGTCATTTACATAAAAGCAAACACATCTGGGTAGTCATTGAAGGATCCCATTTGAATTAAACAAGCTGGCCATGAAATCGCCATTCAGGTACTAAGGGAGTTAAGATTAGGGGCGTGCAGAGCTGTGCGACCCCCAAGTGAACAGTTGAGGTTGGTCAATGTATAGAATGAACCTGGTCTTTGATGAAGTTCCCCACAGCCTCCAGCTGTTAGTGTAAATGAAGGTTATTCTAACTTTCCTGGTAAAAGTCTTCATTAGCAAACTGTTCATTGGGTAGATGGGTAAATCGGACAGAACCGAATTTAGGTTCATTAACTTATTTGCGGTGCGTTCTCAGAATTTACTTATTTTCTGACACCTGAATGGCAGTGACATTAGGAGTGGATGTGTGAAGTTGCTGACGTGGTGCACAGAGGGCAGAACTCACTGGTGGCTCGCTCAGTGTACCCACAACACCCATAAATACCAGCGTTTCTGAAAAGCCTTCTGCATGTCTAGCTGTGTGGTTGGCAGTGTGAGAGATGCAAGCCGCAGACACACCAGAATGAAAACGCCACCCTTGAGGATATTGTGGTCCAGAAGGGCAGCGGTTATGAGGAGGAACTGACAAAGGCCAAATTCAAAGGAGAGGCTTACATACTTTTAGTTTCAAGATACTCACAGCAGGTGTGTGTGTGTGGGGGGGGGCATTTAGGCAGGCATAGAAGGCATAGAATGTATTAGAATATATCACTGTGGTATAAGTTTTTTTTTTTTAATTACATAAGTGAAAATAAACCAAGCGGGCACAAGGAAAGCTCTCAACTTTCCTGTTTGTCCAGGTCAGGAGCACACGCATGTGAATGCGTCCATGCTTCCGTTATCTGGAAAGACTGATGCTCAACCAGAGACACGTGCAGGCCCTTACCAGACTGCAGAGGATTCTTGGGGAACCCAGGAACCTTCTGAATTAGTCCTTTTTTTGTTCTAGCAAATTTCTCTATTTTCCTTCCCCACGGTTGGCCACCCTAGAAACTCAAATTCCCTTCTCTTTGCCTAGTAGGCTTCCTGCAGCTTCATTGTTCCTTTGTTAGGACGATATTCAAGTGTTCCCACCACCCCTCTGCATCACCACCCACCACCGCGTCCTCCCACGCGCTTGCACAAGACATTAATAAGCACATTCATTTGTGAATGTGATGTCTGACTGTCTACAGCATGAGGCTGTGAACCCGAGATAGACAGAGGGAAACTTTTTACACTCCCCTCCCCCTGTCACGAGAAACTGATATGGAATTCAGAGATAAGATTGGGGAGTTCAGTGACTCCGAGTGTTCTGCTCTGTCACGTTGAGTGTTCTCCCACACATAAGGCAGTCATTCCTACTTCGCCACCCCCGCCACAGACCCTTGGAGAGGAGGTGTATGTTTTAGGTGACAGAGACGCTATGAGGAGCATCCCTTCTCCTGTGTGGCTGCCGGTGCTGGTGGTTTCTTCCCAGCCTCCGCACATTATTTTGATTTTCAGGATGTTTGAGGATGAATGTTTAGCACCCCCTAGACACTGCACGGGCTCGCCAGTTTGCATTGCATGACGTCACTCCCTCTCTAACTCCATTCTTTCCTGATCACTGTCTCCTGAGCAATTCCCACCTCACTCTGTCGTGCTGCGGACATTTCTGTAGCCTGTTTGAACACCAGTTTCTACTTTAACACGTTGAGAAGCTTGCTTCTTTCTCACAAACAAACAAACAAAGGAAAAGTCCCAGGGTAAATGGCAGCTGAGGGAGCATTCAGTTCGCTGATTCCTCAAATCGTGGCTCTTTCATGACCTGCTGCAGGAAGTACTGGGGATGCCTCTTAGAAATGCCCACATTTGCTAGGTTCAAAGCTTTGAAAGTGAATCCCAGCTCTGCGGTCTTCTATTCCACTTCAGATAATTCTTGCTCTTCCTGAAGCGAGATGAGTAGTTTAGCCTTAGTCCGTCTCAACTTGTATCTGCCCATTCAGCAAGATTTTTTCTTTAAATAATTGGTTGAGGGGGAGAATTAACTCATTTTTTTTAATATTTTAGCTGCAAAGTGAAATTCAGAGTGGAAGTGACTTGCTTTGGTTTCCACGCCCAAATTCCTTGCCTAATGTTGAGTTAATTGGAAATGATACTGCCCCAGCTAGGTGTCCAAAGAGAGGAACAACTGGACAGCATTATCAGCTCAGTCTGCCACGTTTTTAGGACTAGGGCAGCCCAGACTCAGAGTCCCAGCATGGCTGCCCGTGAACTGTAACTACAATCACAAGATTCCTCCTGGCTTATCCCCTGGCTCTGGGTTCAAAAATAAATAACTTATTTTCTTTCCCTAAACTATGCCTAAAGCAAGAGGAAAACACTTGCGTTTGTGTCTTTTCTTCTCTAGTATAGAGAGAAGTAAGCTGAACACAGTGTCAGCTGGACAGTTTGTGTGTGTGTGTGTGTGTGTGTGTGTGTGTGTTAAGATGCCTCAACAAATGGTACCAGGGACTGAGTTTTAAAGAGTAGGAGGCTTAGTAAGAGGACCCCTCCCCAGAAGAGTTACCCAAACCAGCAGGCCTGAACTCAAAGATGCAGAGGAATGGTTAGAACACCTGTATATCATCTTAACAAAGGAACAACGAAGCTGACTTTGGGCAAGTGCCAGATGAAGATTTCAAAAGTTCTGACAAAAATGATCCAGGACATCCAGGATGATACAAATTTAGTCAGACCCTAGAGAGGAATGTCAGCAAAATTGGTGAAAAAAAACAAGCAATATACAAAACCCAAATGGGACCATTTGGTTCCACTAGTTTTAAGTCTATAACAATGTAGGTGATAAGATGTTTCTACTACTAACTACGTTCTATGCTCTGAGATTTAAAAGAGCATGAGAAAAAGCAATGCCAACAACGCCAGTCACCAATGTCGGTTAGAGCGATCACTACTGACTGTGTGTGTGATTCCACTGTACAAACGAAGCAATTTTGTTTAGACACACTATGTCTAAAAGTGAAACAGGCAGCTTAGCGGAGAGAGGATCCTTTATACCTTTGTAATAAACCTGAAACTGGGTTGATTGTGAAGAGTTGTGTAAGATCTGATTAAAGTTCCGATTGTCGCCCAAACATATGGGTGTTAAATACATACATTAGAAAGAATTACTCTTGCCTTGGGCTGTCTGTGCTCACACCTCCACACAAAGAACTGCGTCTTGATGATCTCAATAAGTTACTAAACTGCCCTTAAAAACCTAATTTTGCATGAAGGCCCGGAGCAAAGCCTTGGCAATATTAAGCTGCAGATTTTCCGTGGAACGGCATCTACTTATTTTGGACCCCGCGGCTGTAGGCATTCATTTGCTACGCATCATCAAACCAGCAAGCAGCCTTTCTGCCAGGCACATAGCAGCTGTTGAGCGAGAAACATGGAAAAAAACGAGGGGGCTGGCTCAGTGCTCCTCGTTGGAGGGCAGCCTTCCTGGTCCAGTTGTCAACTGCTGGTTCAGAAGGTGTGTTGAAGGGGGTAGATAGCACCAGGTACTTTCCATATACAAATTAAGATGTCTTCCTGAACAGCACAGAAAGGCACAGCTGAGCTCCTGTGTTCTCCATACCAATGCTCACATCTAAGTCTCCCCTCAATACTCAACCTTTCTTTTTCGAGTACATAGAACAGAACACTGTCGATTTTTATCACAGTAAGTTAGGAACTTAGGTAAAAACACAACTAAGTTTTTCAAATAAATTTTATATTCTTAATAAGAAAACATTCTGCAAAACTGAATTTTTAAGTGGCAAATTATTGAAAAGCAATAAATCATCACTCCTGGAATAATACAACTTTTAAAAATACGGTTGTTTTAAATTGGCTACCTACATTGTAAGTGATCATTTGCAATGACTAGAGTCATTTCAACTATCTTTTAAAGCTTATAGTTGGGAATAGTTTGTGAGCATTTGCTATTTACTGCTGGTATCTGACAGTAACACAGTTATTTTCTCTGGAAAATGTTCAGCAACAAGGCATTTTTATGAATCAGGTCACGTATGTGGTTGTGTGCACATTTTTGTACTTTCCCACAATTTGTTTTTGCTAAGTGAAGCTTTGCCATTCTTTATAAGTGGGACAGACTGAGGCAAGTAAAATGCAAATGTCAATATATCCCAAAGTATGACCCTAGTTATATGAAATAGATATGCTTCATACAGCCATATGCATGAAACTCTATAAGAAGGGAGAAACACTTGCTTGACCATTCCCCCGTTGAGCAAACTGGAAAATTCCAGTCTCTCAGGAGTTAGTGTTTCACCTTTCCTTCCTGGCATTGTCAGAGGAAAAAAAAGTTCTCAAGTGTAAATGTCTCCTGTGACCTTCATCTTCTGCAGCTTTCATGGTGAACCCAGTTTGTCATTAAACTTGCAATTTACATAAAAATCATTTAGGAGGGGAAATTGCTCACCGATTCCGGCTTCCCCGACAATCCAGGAGAGGCGAATAAAGAGCATGACTCCCCAGATGTTCAGCATGCATCTCACCTGTGGATGAAAGTGAGGATGGAAAGGGGTCCTGAGCCAAGCCCAGCCCACCCCCTTGGTAACTTTGGTGTCCATGAATAGCCGGTGAAGCCCGTCGGATCACCGGGCAGATGCTCTCCTTTGTAAGCAGAAGTTTTCTCACCAGCACGCCTTTCACCCATCCAAACTTCACAACTCCAGCTGTGTCTTCTTCCTTGTTTTCTGCTTGTTCATCTCCAGGCATTCCATCACCATTAGCAACCCTGTCGGCTGAGCCAGGGGCCACGGCCACATTCTGCATTTTAACAGAGGAAACACAAAGCAAAACAGTAATGGTTCAGGGCCTCTCTCTCTCTCTCTCTCTCTCTCTCTCTCTCTCTCAATGATTCAGCTTCTTAAAACTTTCAAAGCCAAATCAAAACAGTGGCCATAAAACTCTAGGAAAAAAAGTATTTCAATAACTTCAGCAAATAATGTTGTTATTGCTTCTTACCCTGGAAGACAATGGGTCCCCATTATGAGCCATTTCCAACCACGGCTAAGGCTGTAGGATGGTAGGCAGAGCCTGGGCCATCCTACCACTAACAACATAAAAGTGGTCAAACTTAAATGAATATAAGTTGCAAACGGATAAAAACAAGACAATGGACTCAAGGGAAGACAGAAGGCAAGGCAGATGAGTCTTTTGTGCCACGTGTTTGGAGGACCAGAGTGATTAGCTTCCTGGATGCAGCAAAGCTGGAATTCTTTCCCTCTGCTTCATTTTATTCAGTTACTTAAAATGATCCCCCACCCCGTCTTCCCCTCTTTCTCAATTGCTGTTCCAATTAATTTTTAGATGAGAATACAATCTCTCCCCTCTTTTCTCTGCCAGTACTCACTCTGTTAAAATAGTTTCTTAATAAACTACAACTTTTCTTAAAAATAAGTAATGGCAATAGACTGTTCAACCAACGTCTTTAAGAGAGTAAACAGTAAAACCCAAAGAAGTGTTTTCTCTACACACACAAACAGAGCAGCTTCTGGCAGTCTACAGAAGGCTAACGGCATGTGTGACTGCAAAACTATTCATCCCATAACAGAACTTTCATTAATTTAACTTATTTATTTATTTTATATGTATGAATGCTTACCTGCCTGCATGTGTGCATACCATGTGTGTGTTTGTTGTGTACTGAGATCAGAATGGACCTCAGATCTCTTAGAATTGGAGTTATGGATGGTTGTGAGCAACCATGCGGGTACAGAAAACAGAATCCATGTTCTCTGCAGAGACAAACAAATTCCCTAAACAGCTAAGCTATTTCTCTAATCCCAAAAGGAATTTTTTTTCTAAAACAATCTAATTTAATTTATTGTTTTGTTTTCAATACACCCCGACTGCAGTTTCCCCTCTCTCCACTCCTCCTCTTGGTTCCTACCCCCTTCCACCTCCTCCCTTTCCCAGATGCATTGCTCCTCCATTTCCCTTCAGAAAGAAGCAGGCCTCCCAAGGATATCAACCAAACACAGCATAACAAGATAAGGACTAAGCACAAACCCTCACATCACGGCTGGATGAGACAACCCGTA